TCCACTCTGAATCTCGCTCCTTGGAGCACGTTTCTCAAGTGTGTGTGTGTGTGTGTGTGTGCGTGTGTGTGTGTGTGCGACACACACTCTGTATCTAAGAGTACTTTCCTTGAATTCGGGAGCAGGGGGGCACAGCATTTCACTGGGACTGTGTCCAGTGAAGCTACCAGTGAAATGGGATATCCAGCTTTGCTACCTGCTTGTGATCTGTTTGCATGATCACTTAAAGTGCTAATGCGTCGGCGAGTCAATACTGAAGTTTATGTTCATTCAGTTGAGCTATGTCTCGAAGTGTGTTCAGCAGCATCTTCCCACTTGGGTGTGCCGTGTGGTCCCCTCAGAGCGCCGTTTTCAGTCCTTTGGCACAGGTGAACTCTTCAGACTTAGCGTTTCTGCACCCTGACAGAGGTCGCATGAAAGAGCTGAAATTGTACTGCCGAGTTCACGAAGATCCTTCACTGAAACTCATCGTCGTTCAAAGTCATAGTTCCTGAAGTCAACGCTTTAGCGCCAATAGAGTAAAGCGCTTATGCCTCTGAGTCTTTTGAGAACCTAGGTAGAGCACAAGCTGTTCCCTTTCGGTGTTGTGCTTAAAGTGCTAACGCATCTTGCTCATTCACTAAGTCTTTTTAGAATCCAGGTATTGCACAAGCTGTTCCCATCCAGCGTTGCGCAAAAGAGTGCTAACGCAGTAAAGTGTTAATGCATCTCAGTCGTTCCGTGCTTTTTTCGAGCGCCGATGATCCGCAGGTTGTGTGTGTCACGCTCTGTATCTAAGAGTACTTTCCTTGAATTCGTGAAGCAGGGGGACACAGCATTTCACTGGGACTGTGTCCAGTGAAGCTACCAATGAAATGGGATACCCAGCTTGGCCAGCTGGATGTACCTGCTTGTGATCTGTTTACGTAATCACTTAAAGTGCTAATGCGTCGGCGAGTCAATGCTGAAAATTATGCCACAATGGCACCACGTACCATATTTACTGGTTGTTCACTTGAAGGTATCCCCTCTATCACTCAACCAACGAATAGTAAAGAACCAGCTTTGCTGGAGATGGTAATGGACAAATTTATTTCTGCCCATTCCACTCGCAACCCCTCAAGATGCCAAGTGCCTGAGGTAGTCCCGTTAGAGGGGGCGGTGGCGGCGGAGGTGGCGGCCTTAATCCAACGAATCTGCAGCAACACATCTGGCAGAGGTGCGGCAAAAGATGTCTCACAACTGATATGGTAGTGTAAGGTCTGGGGCTTCTAGCCAGGTGATAGGGAAGTTTTGAAGACATGTGGAGACAATTGGTCAGTATTTTGGTACTGGCTCAGCCCCAGGAACACATTTTCTCTTCGACTTAACCAGCCGAACGAGCCGGGGAAATCAAGATTTCCAATGCGAAGCTGCCCATCATCCAGATGGAATGTACTGTTCACAGCGGTTGATGATGGTTAGTAAAGGCCTTGCCCCAAAATATGGGACACACCCTAGAACCTGAGTGACCCCTGTTTTAGACTGATCAACTCAACCAAAAAAGTCCTTTTCCTCAGAAAACAGGGAGATGAATGTAAAGAGAGGTGAATCAATACGAGGAAATAAAGAAAAGATGCCACCAATTGTTTGGAGGTAAACTGAGAAAACGAGTGAGAACCCCTGAAACAGGTGGATTCCCTACAAGTTCTTGGTCTTTTTCGGGTGGCACTCTCCGTGCTTGAAAGCCACTGGGCCCCCAACACGGCAGTGAAGGCCTGGCATGAAGCCGTCGTGATGGCAGTGTGTGTGCGTGTACCCCTTGGAATCAAAGGGAACCTTTAGGTTTGGAACAGGGGGACGGGACACCTCTGGCATTTCCCGTCCAACGAAGAAGATGCCCGCAGGTGCTGATGCAGTGGGGGACACCCCACTGTGTACCTGTTCCACTACCAAGGAAAACAGGAGGGAATGGTACCCGACACACTTGTGTGTCGGTGCCTTTGCAGGTAGGCCTCCTAACTTTGTAATGGGATCTTTAACCTGAACTTTGGCCTCTACCCACTAGATTGGCCCCCAACCTTGGCTGTCTTGTGTTTCTTGTGTTTCTTGCGCTGGCCTCCAACTTGGTACCCTGGCCTCCACCCACTAGCGATGACCTCCAACCTTGGCTGTCTTGTGTTTCTTGTGCTTCTTGTAAACTGGTAGCACTGGCCTCCAACTTGGTACCCTGGCCTCCACCCTCCAACCTTGGCTGTCTTGTGTTTCTTGCGCTTCTTGTAACCTGGTAGCACTGCATGGCCTCCAACTTGGTACCCTGGCCTCCAATCTACTAGCGACGACCTCCAACTTTGCTTCTTGCTGTCCTTCAACCTACTATTTTTCTGCAGACATGCACGCTACGACGTCACCCTGTCGCTTCGAACCCGACTTGCGCTTTTGGCCCCACTTCCTCTTGAAGACCTCCAGGATCCGATGGTTCGTACTTGTACTCTTAGGAAATGGTAACCTAGGCCGGCGTGTGGCACCGCTGTCAGTTCCGTACGCATATCCATGAGTGTGTGTGTGTGTGTGTTTGTATTGGACACCTGTTGATACAACTGTATACCAGCACCTTCAAAGGGGTCACCAATTAATAGGGCTTTACACGAATTTGAAGGTGATGCCATAACCATAACCAAGATTTTTGGTATAAGTGTTGGTGGTGTCAAAATAGAACCATTTGATGTAATAGTGTTTGATCAAATCTATTTCATCGGTTTATTGGAAAACCAAGTAGTTTGTTGAACAACATTCTTTTTGCAACAAGTGATGCCAAACAACTAAAGCCAGTTCGAGAGCTGACAAATTCTAAAGATTATGACACAAATATGATGATGCAATCCACGGCGCAGGGTAGGGCGGAGAGGAAGAGGAGGAGGCAGCCGGAGAGGGCTGGCCAGAGCAGCAGGTGTCTGCAATGATTGACAATAATTCTCAAGCATATTGCTGAAAGTATAATAAAAGGGACTGAACACAGAAGAGGATGAACAAAAGCTATACAATATCAAGAACTATAGAGTTGTAAATGAACAACTAAACTGATTGAGAAATACTTTAGATATACTGATGATACTATGTACTGATGATACTATGTCGTCAACATACAACATAGCATAATTGAATACGACCTGTAAACTTCATCAAGTGAGATTAAGCAACTGGAAAGAAAAACAACATGAATATGAAGTAGGTGAGTTCTTGATATGCAGGGAGCACACCAAATCACAAACATGTGTTTTCACTGTAAATGCCGAGCACATTTTTCATATTGGTATTGACATTATTACCTTGAAGAATGTGAAAACAAATATGCTTCAACAACTAGAGATTGACAACGAAAAACAACCTTCATTCTTGCTTGGCGTTCAACCTGCCATTCTGCTTAAGGTAGTCGCATAGGTGGACATATTACAATACTTGATTATAGCAATTTTCTTGTAAAACATTATCCTGAATGGAATTGGGCAGCCTTTTTGTATAAGGTAAGATTCTATAGGTACAATAATGGTACCAATGGTTGTTTTCATTAAACATGCATTATATGGAAGTTACTTTGATTGAAAAGACTACAAACTGCATGATAAAACAGCCAAAAAGAAAAGTACGAGAAGAAGGATATGTAAGTGTTCAGCGGTTCAGCGGTAATCAAAGTAGTGCAATTATTGTGGGTGTGGATTTCCTGCTGATATGAAAGGTTGAACTGTTGTGAATATTTCAACTTGTCAAAGAGTTTCTAACCTTGAGCCTCACTCACTGGATGAGGAAGTGCCTTATTGTTGTTCTGTGCACAGATTTGGCCCAGCTTTGTCAACTGCATGGACCCAGCTTCTTTACACAGCGCTTCGAAGGCAAACGACATTGGTGCAACGTGCAAGGATCAGCTGCATCAGAAGACATTGTTTATAAACATTTGTTGTGTTTACAAACGGTGTTTATAAACTACTTCTCAAACCCAAAAAGCAACGTTTTCCCAACTAGTCCCAACATATGTGAGTCTCAAACCAAAAACACAAAAATAACAATGATTTGGAAACGATGCTCAATCCTAAAGCCAGAAAACCAAAAAAGCATGATTTGGAAACTATGTTCATCCTACAAAGGTTTGGACTAGTTTGGAAAAACATTGTTTGTTGGTGTTCTGCCTTTAGGATTGAGCATAGTTTCCAAATGATTGTTTTGTTGCTTTTTGGTTTTGAGCATAGTTTCCAAATGATTGTTTTTGTGTTTTTTTGGGTTTCTGCCTTTGGGATAGTAGGGCATACAAATATTACTGTGTAGCCTTTATCAACCATTTTCTGGCAGATATGACTTTAGCCTGCTCCTGCAAATAATAGCCTAATCATTACATGTATCCCTTTCTCCATTTTACTAACAAATTCATCTGTATCATACTAATCAACTTGAATTTATCTTTTTTTAGAGGCAGTAGTGATATAGAGGTTGGTATTTCTACAACTTGGTAAAGTTCATTAGGTAATTTCATATCCACATTCTCACTCTCCAGCCTCCAACCTTACTTTAAAAAAATCCAACTATTTCCTTCGCGTTCAGCCTTGATGGTGGAAGCAGCAATCTTAGCACTATGTAATTACTGTAATACCAGCATGCTTCAGCTTAAAGAAGGCTTTATACATTGGAAACATGGTGTTGCAAAGGAAGCTCTTTGATATACCTATATCCATTTTGTAATTGCGCTTTATCCTTCAAATCAATAAGGTACCGTAACATGCTTCCTGTTCAATTTCAATTAGATGAATGGCAACTATGGCTTCCCTCACTTCCTTCGTTAACTTCTTCACGAGTCACTACACTTGCACAAATATATACATGTATATGGGGGGCGCTGGCATTAGCACTAGCAACTTTAAGTTCAATAGGTCTTAGGACACTTTGTCAGGGGGCCCCCTAATCAGCGCCCGCCCAAATCGCTATGTGTACACCAATCAACATGCTGCTTGACGTGCTATATAAGTGTCAGAACCCCCGAACACCTGCGTGCCTATATATATACTGTGTGTGTGTGTTGTGCACTATAGACTCCAGTCTTCTAACTGTTGCCTTCTGAGCAGTCATTTCCTTTTCATAGAGTCTGTCTCGAAGCTTGGCAGTGTCCACAAACTCATACAATATAACACACGTTGTATGTTTGCACTCGTGCGCAGCAGCCAATCACGTTATGGAATGCTCCATGTTTCCCGTGCCTTGACCAATTTCGTTGTTCCGCAGACCTTCTCGGCCAAAGACAATTTGCCAACGGTCCAGCTACTGGCGCAGCGCACTCCCGCGTTTGTATATGTGCCCCGGTGGGGAAGAGCATGTCGCTGGCAGAATCACCGTGCGCAAAGAGAGCCAGAGTGCAGCAGTTGCAGCTGCTGTTGCAAGAAAACAGGCGTGAGCTGGCGCAGTGCCGGCAGCGTGTGGCGAGGTGGGCGGCCAAACGTGGTAATTTAGGCTTGACTTCAGCAGGACAAAAGGCAGTACTTGCTTGCTATTGCTTGTCAAACTACAACAGCGCCATTGCCACCAAGCTTGCGCAGCAACTCAGCGACTTGGAGAGATCTTCCCCCCAGTTTCCGTCAGAACCATTGGTCCAATCTCTGTTTCGAGAGACAAACCTTGGAGAGCTCATGCGGCTGCACAGCGACGATGATGATTGGACAAAAGCCAGAAATGTGGCCGTTCGCTTTGTGGCAGAGGTGAAGACGGTGGACTATGTCCACTCGCAAAACAGTCTCCATGGTGTCGCGCCAACTTCGGCTGAGGTTTTTGCGCATTTTGCGCAGACACGCTCGGGCGGTTTACCGGAGGTACTCCCAAGCCGCGACTATATCAAGAAGTGGGCTGCTGGTTGGCGAAAACGCTTTGGCATCCGAAGGGCGGCCTTGCCCATGGCCATTCCAGCAGATGCACCGAGCTTGCGGGCAAAGGTGCTTCGAGTGGTGTCAGTATAGGTGGTCAAACCGGTCAAACCAAGGGGCCAAAAATGGGACCGAAAAATGGACCTGAAACAAGGTCCGCCTTGTGAAAAATTGTTTTCGGTTGCGAGGCAGCTTTGGGGACAGTTTTTGGCCCCGGATTCTTTTTTGAGGGTGTGCTTTGAATTAGAATGAATGGCTCGGAGGTGAAATGCTTCTGGAAGATGCTGGCGTTTCAGCGTGGTCCAGAGGCTTGTGATGGTCGTGAGATTTTGTATCTCAATGTGGATGAAACAAGTGTGCCCTACACTGCACGACCTGCTATTGGTTGTGTGATCAACCGCAAGCAGTACAAGGGCTCCGGCCTCCCAGCCGTGCCCCACGCCAAAATCCAGCCTGCCGGCAGGCGAGGTACTTTTACGTACTGCGCTGTTATTGCTTCAAATACAGGAATTCAACCAGCACTACCCCACTTTCTTGTGAGCACTGGCACCAGGCTGAGCAGCAAGGTAGTGAAGGCCTTCAAGTGCTTGCCGAAGACCCAATTGCAAGTGCTTCGCCGGAAGAGTGCGTGGGTTACCAGTGATTTGATGATCGCAATCTTGCAAGAAGTGGCAAAAGCATTAGAACCGTTTTTGCATCAATTTAGGCCGGTATTGCTCTTGGACGGGGCGCCAGCTCACGTTTCAGAGGCAGTCATGCGTGCTGCAAGAAAGTTGAACATTTCGCTGGTATATATTCCATGTGGAGCAACTAGCCTGTGCCAGCCTTTGGACGTCTATGCGTTCTCCAGCTTCAAGCAATACCTCCGCCAGAAATACCACGAGCACAGGCAGACAGCCACTGATGGCTTGCCATCGACTTTAGCGTGGCTGTGGCAATTAGGCCAGGCGCCAAGGCAATTTTTTTGTTCCAAGTCTTGGGCCAAATGTTTCCGCGGAGTTGGGGCCAGTGGCAAAGCCAGCGACCTCCACTCTGTACTTGCCTCTTTCATGGAGCACCCTACATGTCTCCCTGCTTCATCCAAGCCAACGTCAGAGGACGTTCGGCTGATATGGCCGCAGAACCGTCGCATGAAATACGCATATGCGTGTTTGTATGATGGTGAAGACTGAGGAAGCACCATGCAAAAAAGTGCCCGTGCAGTCAATTCTGTATATATTGTTGTTCTTTCTCGGTGTTTTTTACGGAGTCTTTCATGTGTTCCTTGGTCCCTTTCGCGGTCAGCTCGGTCGACTCGTGATGCTTGGTTTTTCTTTGCTGGGGGTGTCTGTTTCATGTGGGGCTGACTGGTGTTGTATTTACATGGTGAGACCCTCTTGCAGTAATTAGCCATCACTAGCCTATTTGTCCAGTAGACACCCATTCGTACAAGTAATTCGTGCACCAGTTCGGGATATGTTGATTGGTGGATAACACATGGGGACACCAACAACCTCCATGTCTACAGCAAGCCATGCCGCATTGCCAGCTGCCGCGTCTCCGCGTCTTTCCCGCTCAGACTGATTCAGAATATGTGGGTGAACCAAACAGCATTTGATGTCCCAGCTTGTTTTGAAGTTGAGCTGGCCATTGAAGATGTTAGTCTCCTTCAATAGAAGACCCTTTCGGCTACAGGACCGAAGCGTCTGCCCGGAGCGTCTGCCCGGCTGACTTTGATCAGGGACGAGCTGCGCGAAAGCGAAAAGCCCTGAGACCGCCACAGACCGCTAAGACTTGATGTAAGTCCAGAGCGAAGACCTGCAGCATCTGCCAGTGCAGCATCTGCAAGTGCAGAGAAGACCTGCCGCATCGTTATGTTGCATCTTGACCTGGGCACCAGATGGCTTGGCAGGACCTGTATGGCTTGGCCTGCAAATGACCTGCAGAGACAAGTGCTCCGCCTATGCGTGATCAGTGGCGCATGTGCTCCAAACACCCCGATCGGTTCACGAGATCGGCGAAGAGTGGCGCAGAATTAGGCAAGGAGATGTCTCAAGAGTGCAGCCCTGAGGGTACATGAGGGGCCCCAAACCCTTGTGCACGGGTTCGACCCCTTGCCGTGGAGGGTCCGTTCGGATCCTGAGGGAGACTTATTGATTTATGTTGCAAATCATCTTGGAAAGGGGCAAAAGCTTGTACCGACACTGCATCTGGCGGCACCATTCTTGTGCAACTACTGAAAGTGATTCTGGGGGTACAGTACGGTACGGCTTTTTGAGGAGGAGCTCAAGTGTGAAAATTGCTTCAGCTCGTTGATCATCGAAATGAGCGGATTATCGAACGTTCACTTCAAAGGGCTCCACTTGAATTTATTAAAGCTTTTGCGTTGGCGAAAGGACAGCTGGGATGCATTGAAGATCAACATGAAGGACATCTTGTATATGATGTCATGACACACAATGGCAAACATGTGTGCAAAGAATGGCGGGATCGTCGAATGGGGAAATGTCCCAGCTTGGTCCAAAATCTGCACATTAATTGTCTAATCGCAAATTTATCAATGCGCTGAGTTGGACAGTGTGTTAGATGCAAAACTCTCCAAAAGGAACTCTCTCAGTCTATATCATCTTGCAAAAGCATTGGAGAGCCACAAACATGACAATGACAATGAACCAGGGGGTGGGGAGAGCTTCCCAAAATTGATCAGGGACTGACCGGCAATCCATTTGAGGTTGTTCAAGTTTTGGTCGAGCCATCATTTGTTAAATGTGCAATTATTGTTTGAAGCTCTGCTAAATGGTTACCTTTGGTGCACCCTGTCAGCCAGCGTGCTACTCACCATCAGTAGGCAGGTTTACCTTGCTCAGGCATGCAAGCTTGGTATAGATATTTGGTGATACTCGTTGACCGGCTCCACATCAATCTTTTTTGAACCTCATGGCAACATTGGCTTTGATGTTGGCTGATGTTGTATTATCAACCACCAAGAAAAACTTCCGCTACAAAGAGTCTTTCAGAGCACGAAAATGAAGGAGTTCTTGGCAACTGAGAGTCTGGAAAATGGATGATAATGGAAGTAACCCCTTAGTAAAGGGAAAAGGCTACTGTCTTGGCCTACTTTGGCTCTGCGCTTGGTTCAATTCATTTGTTTGACTGAGAATCTGGCAGTCATTAGCATCCAGATCCATCCTCTTAGTTGGAGGAAGCAGTTTCAATCTTTATGTAGGTCGAACAAGTTGCTTTCTTCACAGCTCTATTAACGTGGGGCATCCCTGCTGACAAGCTGTGCCACAAGAAGCAGATATAATGGCTGCAATCTGATGATATTCTGCCGGAGCCAACTAGTTCCTAAGGCAACTTCAAGTCGGCTCGTCGGTGCCCAGACCACCTCCTGCTGAACTGTCTGTGAGGCAAAGAGCTTCCTCAAATGCCCAGACTTAATTGCAGGTCATCTTGTAAAGGGGCAAAATAATCAACCCTATGAACAACATGAAAGAACAGCTGGGATGCATTGAAGATCAACATGAAGGACATCTTGTATATGATGTCATGACACACAATGGCAAACATTTGTGCAAAGAATGGCGGGATCGTCGAATGGGGAAATGTCCCAGCTTGGTCCAAAATCTGCACATTAACTGTCTGATCGCAAACTTATCAATGTGCTGACTTGGACAGTGTGCTAGATGCAAAACTCTCCAAAAGGAACTCTCTCAGTCTATATCATCTTGCAAAAGCATTGGAGAGCCACAAACATGACAATGACATTGCAACAGGGGGTGGGGAGAAGTTCCGAAAATTGATCAGGGACTGACCGGCAATGCTGCCTGAACCCTGATCATCCGCTTGAAGTTGTTCAAGTTTGGGTCGAGCTATCATTTGTAAATGTGTGATGTCTAAAGCTCCAAATGTGTACCTTTGGTGAACCCTGTCAGTAGGCAGGTTTACCTCAACCTGGCATGCAAGTGTGGCTTCCATGGCAGCATTTGGCGTTCATTCTGGCTGATGATGTATTGAACCAACCAAGACAAGTTTCTGCTACATAGGCTCTCTCAGAGCACCTATATGAATGAGTTCTTGGCAACTGAGAGAGTGGAAAATGGATGATAATGGATCTGACCTCTTAGGAAAGGAAAAGGGCTACTACTGCCTTGGCCTACTTTTGCTCTACACTTGGATTCAATTCGTTTGCTTGGTTGAGAATCTGGTAATCAGCAACCAGATCCATTCTCTTAGTTGGAGGAGCGGAGGGCGAAGCCTCAAAATATCCTGTCCACTTGATCTCTACTCTCTTGTCTTAATCTTTATGTAGGTCGAACAAGTAGCTTTCTTCGCGGCTCTATCAACCTGGCGCATCCCTGCTGACTAGCTGTGCCACAAGAAGCAGATATAATGGCTGCAATCTGATGATATTCTGCCGGAGCCAACTAGTTCCGAAGGCGACTTCAAGTCAGCTCGTCGGTGCCCAGACCACCTCCTGCTGAACTGTCTGTGAGGCAAAAAGCTTCCTCAAATGCCCAGACTTAATTGCAGGTCATCTTGTAAAGGGGCAAAATAATCAACCCTATGAACAACATGAAAGAACAGCTGGGATGCATTGAAGATCAACATGAAGGACATCTTGTATATGATGTCATGACACACAATGGCAAACATTGTGCAAAGAATGGCGGGATCGTCGAATGGGGAAATGTCCCAGCTTGGTCCAAAATCTGCACGTTAACTGTCTGATCGCAAACTTATCAACGTGCTGAGTTGGACAGTGTGCTAGATGCAAAACTCTCCAACAGGAACTCTTCCAATCTATATGTTAGATAGAGCCACACGCATGACAATGAACCGGGGGGTGGGTAAGACTTGCGAACATTGATCAGGGACTGACTGGCAAGGCTGCCTGAGCCCTGACCCAGTTGAAGGTTTTCAAATACTGGTCGAACAGCTGTCGCGCATGGCAAATGTACTGACTGGAATCAAGCACAAAGAGTCGCCACAAAACTACCGTGACCCTTCAAGGCGATGCAGTCCATCGCTTCTTGTGTTCCTTCCCAAGGTGGAAAGAAGAACTCAGGAAGTTCTTCTGCGATTTGACCGTTTAGTTCATCCACCTATTTATGTCTGCGAGTTTCGCTTGGATCACACAGCTCAAGAAATGGTAGAACAGCATCGATTCGGCTGGAAGTGACGTCCATGGATCAATGGCAAGCCTCGGCATCGGATTTCCGATGCTCATGCGAAATCAGGTCAGTTCTGCTACCCACATATTGAAAACACCACGTGCATGGATGTAAACAATGCTACGGTAGTCCCAGAACTCTAGTTCGAACAACTCTTGATGCTGGATTCTCGCAGGGTCCTGCGTCTTGAGCCAAATGGCGGGGATCCTTACACGACTACATGTGGGTCTTTAATAGGAGGACAGCCAACCAATGGGTAGACCGGTCTATGTTGCTTCTTCCAGGTGGTCGAACTGGTAGGCCTCCCGAAAAAAGAACATGTGGAATCCAACAATGGCTTGGAAGGCGATCGTTTCATTGTGGGTTTGGAACTTGGTATGGAAACGATCCCTTTCAGGTCCTAAACCAGCAGGTCCATGGAGTTGGGTGCGGACATTGGGGGGACATCCACTTCACCACGGTGGACCAAAAGACCACATGTCGAACTGGAACTGCTTTGCCAACGGGTGTGTAGAGCTCAAAGAGGTGGGAGATCTCGGCGCTCCGACCCCAGTTTTGGAAGCAGGGAAATAGACCAACCCTAAGGATCCGAGTTCGGACCCGAACCATGGCAAGGGGTCGAACCCTGCTGTGAACTACGGGGTGACTGGGGCCCCGAACCAAACCCTTGTTTTGTTTCGGGTGCGGATCCTTAGGGAAAAACCATTTGGTTTGGGGCTCCCTGTTAAAAGACACGACACACCCAAATGAATGCAGATTTGTCCATGTCCGGCCTGTTGCTTTAAGGAGCCCATCCCATACGTACGATCGACTGCGCTCAGTTCGGCCAACCATGGTCAACGCGAATTCACATCGGATGTGATGTAGGAATCAACTTCTGTAAGTAAGTCTAGAGCCAAAAATTCGCAAAAATCACACAAAGATTGTAAAAAACACAGAAAACCAACACAGAACCCCGTGAGGCACACGGTCAGAGGGTGGCGAATTCTGCTCCCAGATGCGGTCGACCTTTTTCGCGCCCGGCGCGGTCGGGGACCTCGGACGTGTCGCGACCACCGTCGCCATCGCGAGCGCCGTGTGGCACGGTCGTGTAGGACCACCGCGAGTGGTCGCTGACCAAGTGGTGGGTGTCGGGTTCGGCAGACGCGAGTGCCACAGAACTGCAGTGGTTTGGAGGTTTGCTCGACCGAAGAGCTCTGATGTGTTCGCTTTTCGCGAATCGCTGATTCTGGGCATCGACACAGGGGGCGTCCCAAGCGCTCGGTGCAGCCATGGAAATGCGTCTGATCGGATTCAGGTCGTCGCCGACCTCGGCGCATCAGGATCTGGTCACTGAAAGAAAGGTCACATCTGGCATGGGCTCCTGGCCGATCCAGGGCTGATCTGGCGGATCAGTCAAGGTCGGGCTTGCTCGAGCAGCTCGGTCCTTTCCAACGACTGGATTGGACTTCTGAAGCGACCAATGAGGTCAGCGTTCCAAAATTCATCCACCCGAGACCATCTGCCCGCCATCCACTTCGACGACCTCGTCCAAGGCGCGCTCCTCCCGCTCCAAGCGCGTTTCCTTCGCTCGAAGCGGGAACGAACGTCTCGGACACGAGAAAACCTGCGGGTGAAGAGGGGTGACACCCTGGTTGAGCAAGAATGAACAGGAACATGGGGCCAATAGCCAGATGGTGGCGTCATGATGCACAGAGCGCTTTTTTTCGAAAGGTGCACGAAACTGGTTTACACATGGCCTGAAATCATCATCATGGTGGAAGTGGATGGCACTGGTCCCAAGTTCGGAGGACCCTTTTCTGAAGACCAAACAGCTTGTTCTCCGCTTCCATGATTGTTTCAGGTAGCCCTACGAGTCAAAGACCTACCTCATTTGTCATAAACACACACTGTAAGGAGGAAAAAGACCAGGTTTTACTGGGTCAGACTGGACTTGTAGTGTACCAGCACCCTCCAACAGGTCTCCTCTGGAGGTTTTTGCTGACTTAAAAGTCGCAGATGGTGACCTGTTGGAGGGTGCTGGTATGGATGCAAGCTGAGCTCTCTTCGTCTTGTGAGTTGATTCTGGGTGTTCTTCTTTGCCCCAACACCTAGAGACGCCGGAACACCCTCTCCATCCAGCCTGTCACCATGATCCGCCGGAGTCCTGGCGCATCACGAGGGGCCGTGATCCACTCTGACTTCACCATCCACACGGTTCGCACGTTCGGTCCGTCGACCTACGATGGTCAACCTCCGTTTTTGCCGCAGGGGCTCCAGGGGTTGGTCCATCAAGTCAACCAGCCGCTGGTCGGACAAGCCCCGTGGACAGCTTCTGCCAACAAGAAGCAAAGCAACTAAGGGGCTCCTGGCATCGCTACTAAGCAAACCTTGAACGCTACGAAGGTAACATACCGCAAAGCCAAAAGACCTTTCACCTCGAGACGCTGCTAGGGTTGGTCCATCACATGGACACCTGCCAGGACCCACGCGAAGAACTCCCGGTACCACCAGGCCTCGGAAGAGGCATCTGCAGCTCCACCAGAGCGGCTCCTGGGGGGGGGGTGACCCCCGTTTGGAGTGGAACACATACCTCCTGCTCCATGAAAGCTGGGTTTTCAGAAACCCGCGTTGTGGAAACCTAGCAGCCTAGCACTGGCGTGTTGTTTGACCGGCATGCGGCAGGTTGATATTTGGTGCACCGACGGGGAGTGAAAGACTCGCGCTCTTGGACGAGAACTCCGATGATGTTAGATGTCACGCGCGGAGGCCACGCGAATCCGGTGGTTTCCTTGGGTTGAGTTCCTCAAGGTTGGTCTGGAACATAAGCGGATTCTTTCTTGCAGACTGAGAGACAGGTCTTGGGGCTGAAGACAAATTCGTGGCAGATGGTGGCAAATCGATCAAGAGAGGAGGCACTTCTGAGAGATTCATGAAGAATTCAGGATATCTGAGGGATTCTGTCGAAAAAAAAAGCCGACTGGTGCTGAGTGGAATGGGGGAATGGATCCCAAAAGATCTGCATTGAAGGGTCATTCCCAGATAAATACGACTCCATCCTTTCCCGTTTGCCTTTCTAGGCTTACTTGAGTTGAGCCACGAACCCCCAGCTGCTGAGCGGTGGTCTATCCTGCCCAGCGCTCGTTCGAAGGTCAAATGTGGATGAATTATTCGACTTTGATGACCGGAATCAACACAACTGGAAATTGAAAGTATACCAACTCCCGCCTAGCTCCACTGGGAGAGTCCTGGTAGGGATCGACCGCATGGCTTTGGGTAAGCTTGACAGGTCGTTACGTCTCAAGCAATGCGTGCACAAAGCACGTGACAACGCAGCCCAGAGTTCCGCACTTTTTCTCAGCAGCGGCTGCTGTATTGCACGAAAATGTCGGTATTGGCGGCCAAGAGCCTCAGTGTGACAAGAGGTTCTCGGATCAATCCGAAGTCATGTGCTGCTACATGAGGCTGAAAACGGCCACCAGGTGAACATTAGAGCATGGGGGAAACAAAAAACCTCACCCCCACCTGGTTCGGCCAAGCCATGTGTCTGCTGGTTCCTCTCTGTCGCCCAAAGGCGCTAAGAAGCAGAACAAACACCGTCGCGGACAACTCCATAAAAGCCATTCACCCTGGTTCTTCAACGTGACCGAACTTCATCATACTTCATCCCCCATGACCATGATAGTTGTCCCTTAGACTTGTACACGGATCTCAGTTCGGCCACGAGAAGAAGCTGCACCACCGTGTTAGCAGTTTCTTTCCACCACCGTGCTGTTGGGCTTTCAAGACCACCAAACCAAACCCCGTCCGACCCGAGGCCGTCGGTCTCCAAACGCCACGCCGTCACAGTGCCCGAAGAGCTCGAACGCGGTGGAAGGGTGTTCCGCAAGCAGCTCGTTCACTCCCAAGGCACTCCAAGCCTCTGGCCGCTGGCCAGGACGAGATCTCGCCTGCGCAGCGTCCCGCGACGGTGCTTCGAAGGTGTGAGAACTCCGAAGAACAGTTGGAGTGTTGAAGGTTCCGAACGACGGGGAGGTGGAGAAAGGAGTTGGGTGTGCCCCTGTCACATCCACGGATGCAACTCAAAACCACCCCAACCGTGGAACTCCGGGGAGCCACAGACCAATAAGAATAGTCAGACTAGGGGACCTGAGTTCGGGAATTTCCTTTACTTCACTGAGGCAAAACATAGTCTGTTGACTTCTATAGGGTATGGAATAGATACCCACCCAGACGCTCCGTTCACAGCCCTTGATCCCTCAAGACCTAGGGGGATTGGTGAGAAACCCTAGAAATCTGACCAGTTCGGAGTCGGGTCCGACCCCTCCATAGGTTCGGGTCCATGAGCATCTGAGTACATTGACTCCTACAACTTCTTGAACATCACCTCAACCTGCAGTCACAAAGGGGTGCTTAATGGAGGTCAGGGGTGCCCATTATCCACTCACTTGAGGACTAAACACCACCCCTTTGTGACTCCTGGAATGTATCTTAATGTACTTCAAAGCCCCTCCCGGCCCGCAGAAACCCGACATCGTCCGCGTGCCGATGGGAGAACCTCTGAGCCACATCACGCACCGGACGCACTGGACGCCTAAAAAGCAACGTCCCGATATCGTGCCTGGTTGGGTTTCTCCATTGAGCCGTTGCAAGAGCTCTTGGAAATCCACGCTGTCAATGCGCCTGTGATGCGGCGCGGAGTGGCGCATTGGAGCGAGCGAGGAAGCGTTGGAGCGAATTGCAGGACTCAGAGGAAAGATGGGGATGGAAAGATGGTGATGATGTGATACTTGTGGTACAGTCATTCAGCAGTCTGAGCACCATCGTGCCATCTGCACGTTGTCACGTGTGTCCTTCAAACCAAACGTCGCCCCACACGCCGGCGCCACGTCGCGGCGCGGCCGTGCCCTGCCTATGTGGCCGGACGATTTCCAGCACAAAGAGGACGAAGAAGCGTAACTCCTCCGTATCCTGGAGAACAACAAACCACTCCTCCATCTGTGCCAAAAATGTTGGCCCAGGTAATCCACATCACCTTTTCCTTTAGGTCGGTCATGACAAATAACCTTCGAAAAATCCACTACCCCGGATGACGCGGCCAATGGCGGACTGACGCGTCTGAAAAAGTGTCGTGCACGTCTTTGTGCTATGCCAGAAATGACCTCTATGGCAGACATAGACCTATTATTGGAGGTGTAAGCGTTCGAACGACCCATCAGAATCATTGGTTCTATTCCTGGCAGAAATAGGTCTGTAAGACAGAAACAGCTGTGTGGCATTTCCGCACCGCACCAAAGGGTTTCAGTTCGGGTGGTCTCGGGAGTTCGGAGTCCACCCAGCTTTCGGGGCCTGCAGATGGTTCGGACCCAGACGCGACCCGGAACTCGGGCCCGAACCGTTCAGGGACCGGGGGCCCACTACCCGAATCGGGACGGGTCAAGGGTCCAGACCTTCAGCCCCCCAATCCCTATATGGTTTGGTTCAGGGCGGCCCAGTCGGGCTGTTTTCACGAACTCGGAGCGTCTGGGGAGGTAAAAACCGTGCGTTCAACCACGGTGGGTCCGTGCCCTGAGCGTTTCAGACCCTCTACCCCTTTGTCCCAGGTCGCCGGGTCGGCCCGTCCGTCCAGCTCATAGGGACGGTCCCTCGGTCCTGGCTGCGGGAGGCCAGAAGAAGGAAGTCGGACTCCTGGCAGTGAGGGACTCAGTGAGGGCCAGAGCACCGGCAGTGACGAGATCGGGGAATTGGTTGGGGCGCTGCGGCGAAAAGACTGGTGCGGCACGAGCACGAGCACGAGCACTGCACGAGCACTGCTAGAACCTGCTAGATGCTGCTCCCGCGTGGTGGGGCGAAACGGATGGATCATGGCATCCAGAGACTCTTCACCCTGAGAAGTTGACACCAAGAGAGGTTAAGTCTAGACCGGGTCCTTAGGACCTTTCGCTACCCTGGGAGTGGCCTGGGATAGTCGAAGGTGGTCATGAAAAACCCTGTGTTGTACCCCCGCATGGGGGAGGAGTGGCATCGCCCTTCTGTTCATCTTTCGTGGTCTTTCGATTGATCTTTCGCAAGGTCCCTGGTGCCTATGATCCACAGCCAGGTGGATGGTGGCATATGGTGGCCTTGTTGGGAGAAGGATCTTCCTCCACGATGGCCAGTGGTTTTGGCCCACCAGACTGGTGCAGAGAGAGAGAGAGAGAGGTCTACTGCTGGTCTACCAGGTAGACCACCCCGGCAGGTCGACACGACGCTCGTCGACCACACGACACGTCTCTTCCTGTTCCTCCGAGCAACGTTTCGATTTTCCTCCCTGAAATCGGGTCCTGCCCAGACGCGACCCGGAATCCGAACCTATGCAGGGGTCGGACCCGAATCCTATGGAGGGGTCTGGGGTTTCGAATCCCTATGGTTTTGAGGGACCAAGGGCTGTTTGGAGCATCTGGGTGATTCTAAGTTCTACCCAGACGCTCCGTTTTCGTTCACAGCCCTACTTCCGGGTCCCGAACCAAACCATAGGGATTGGTGAGAAGGTCCAGACCCCTCCAAACGATTCGGGTCCGACCCCTGCATAGGTTCGGGTCCAGGAGCGTCTGGGTATGGGTGTTCTCCCGTTTACACTGTACACCCTTTTTTTGTACGTGGACCCGACTCTACAGGTCTCCTCTGGTGACTTTTGCAGACTTGAAAGTGATAGGTGGTGACCTGTTGGAGGGCGCTGGTATTTTCTACCCAAGTTCTTCTCACCCAGCAATATTGAATCTATTCTTTACGCTTCACAAGTGATCCGATCTGCAGGACTCACGACCTGACAAAAGGAATCGATCGAATTCGATCGAATCGTGGGCCTTCAAGTGTGTCAAAGGATTGTAGACGCCGTCCTTCCAGACATAGGTGTCCTTGGTGCACCAAGTGGCTACGGGTCCGAAGAGCATCACTCTTCGTATCTGCTCTGGGGAGGGTTGGCGGGAGGATCTGATTAGCAATGGCTGGGAGTGTATGAGTGTGCAAAACAAGCATATATGACACGCTTGCGAAGCCAAGCTCAGCTGCTTCAAAAAGACCTTGGTGCTTCAACAGTCCAAACTTCGCGCCCAAACGAATGCTTGAAATAGCACAAATCCATGAAAAAAGTCCTTGCCCAGAAAGCATGGACAACTTGGACTGTTTTTTAAAGAATGTGTTGCAGAACACCGGTTGCAGAACACCCGGGCGCCTTCCGAACCAAAAACCACCTCTCAGCGTCCCAACCGATCAGCCCCGTTTGGTGCGGAAATGGCGAACTCCAGCGTGGCCAAGCGGCGGGAAGGGCGCCCAGCTCCACCTGGACTTCAGCTGACCTGGCGCCAGTGGACCAGCCACCCATCGACTTCTTAAAAGATGCTGCCCTAAGAATCTGGACTCTCAAACACACATACATAGGGTCTGGTTCGGGGCCCCAAACCCCTGTTATAAAGGGTTTGACCTCCTTGTTTTGGGAGGGTCCGAACTCGGATCCTTAGCGTGAGAATGGCTTTTCGGTGAAAGTGATCTTCGGGGCACCATGCAGAGGGGATCGATCGGCTACAAACAGATGCACGGACGAGATACAGGTTCAAGTTCCAGGTCGGAACCCCAGTCCCAACCAGAAAGAAATGGATGGAACTCCGCCGTAAAGGAGTTCAAGCTGGCGCCATGAAGAGCTCACGAACTGTTTCTGGTTGGGACGGTCCAGGCGGAACCGTCCTGTCGCGAGATCGCACCTGGGCACCCGTCCAGGTGAGTCATTTGAGCTCCGTTCGTTCACATGAGTTCCACGTTGGCGGAGACCGTGCCCCCCGGCTCCCGATTCAGGTGAATTTCCCGGGGTCTTCTGTTCCGGAAAACCGCCCATGAAAAAAGATGGACAGTCCTGGGACAAGGAGTTACTCTTCTGCAGACATACGTAGAAGCAGAGAGGCAAAAAAAAATTGGGGGGGACTTTGGTGATTGATCTCGCCAGACGCTCCAAACAGCCCTTGGGTCTTTCAAAACCATAGGGATTTGAGGGTCCGGACCCCTCCATATGACGATCCGACCCCTGCATAGGTTCGGGTTCCGGGTCGCGTCTGGGTCCACCAAAAAAGAGTTCGATGAAAACCCTCCGCTATCTTCAGGTCCTTGGCCCACTCTCCAAACCAAGCAAGGCCAGGCCTGCAATACTTGCGTAGAAAAGCACTATGCAGGGGTCGGACCCGAATCCTATGGAGGGGTCTGGGGTCTCGAATCCCTTTGGTTTTGAGGGACCAAGGGCTGTTTGGAGCGTCTGGGTGATTCTAAGTTCTACCCAGACACTCCGTTTTCGTTCACAGCCCTACTTCCGGGTCCCGAACCAAACCATATTGGGATTGGTGAGAAGGTCCAGACCCCTGACCCGTCCCGATGAGGAAGCTCCGACCCCTGCCAACAGGTTCGGGCCTTTCGTTCGGGTCGCGTTTGGGCAACTCAGGAATCAGGTACCATCATGTAACAATGTACCATCACAACCCCAGGATTTCAATTTTACTAAACCATTGTTTGACCGAGGATTTGAGGCTACAAAACCAACACAACCGTTTTAAAATGGTCTTGAGTCTTGAAAGGCTAGGAAAAGCCACCATCCCAAAATGTATGGAAGAACTGAAGCTTCCTAAGTCGAACAGTTCCGAGCAGCCAGGAACCGCATCGACGACCTGGACCAGTGTTCCGCCGCGAGATGATGTTCATAGCCTCTTAGACCCTAGGCTTCCTGGCCCACCATTAATTTAATAGGCTGACTACCCAATCAACTAAGGATTTTACACAAAAACCAGGTCGTTCCCATTGTTTTAATGGTCTTTGACTCCCAGGGTTAGATGGTCTTGAATGGTCTTGATATGTTCTGTCAACCACCGGAGAGTTTCTGGGTGGTAGACTGCGGCGATCCGGAGAGGATACATCATCAAACCACCATTTCTGGCCACCTCTGCTTCTGCCAATTGGAGCAAACATCCGACCAAGCGGAGCAACATCGCCGGCACAGACCTCACCTGCCTTTCACATGCGCGGCCTCAGACTCAGCACCAAATGGCCGTTCAGACCTCTTCACCCGCTACACTTGAACTTATCACTCCATCAGTCCCTTCCCACGCCTTCCTTCCGCCAAAAAAAATCACTGCCTCTCCCCGGTCAAGGTGGCGCCACCTTTTCGCGCGCGAGTTTTCGCACGCCAAAACGCGCACCCGCGCGCCTACGCGAACGGCCGGGTAAGAAGTGGCAGAAGCGCCCGAGTTGCACCACCAAGCCTAGCGCGAGATGGACGAGATGGAACATCTTTTCGATTGAACCACTGTAATTGGCAGGACGCACTCCTGGCAAGGAATTTAGCTGACTTTGGACGGCCGCCACATGCAGTCGAAGACCTCAACACTTGGAAACTGGTCGATCTGTGAACTTCACGCCGGGGCCACGCGTCTTGTCTTCAAGATGACAGGTACATGTATATAGCTGTCATACCCTGGAAGTCCAGGACTATATCAACTTGGGACGACCCGAGTTGTTTTTCTTTTTAATTTCCTTTAGTTCGGTGATCCCAAATATATCCATGCAAGAATAGTCTTGTCTTTGGACTTCTACGGCATGTATAAATTCCCCTGAAACCATCGTGGATAAGTATTATACCGGCCGCAGGGAACTCCCTGGGACGGTTCTTTATGCAGAGATCGCATCTGGCAATCTAAAGCCCCATCGGAACCAAAAGACCAAGACGCATCAGAAAGCATGAGGACACACGTGAGTCCTTGAACTGAAGAGAGTGACCACAATAACAAAAAAATAGATTCGCAGATTCACCTTATACGCTTGGATGTAGCTACTTGTGGGTATGAATCAAAAACTGAGGAACACCTCGACAGATTCTTTTTACTGTAACAAGTGTCTCTTTCTAATCTTAAGTTACATAGAAACCAGAACCGAGCTCACACCCGACACCGTCTAGCAGCCCAGTCTTGCAGCTGTGCTGTGCCTGTCTTTCGGACTGCGGTCTTCCCAAAAACATGTATACCATCCGTTCCATATACCTGGATCTTCCTATGCAGAACTGCCTTCATCTTGAATGAGTTGATGGATTTCGGCAGTTCTGCATACGTGCATCGTGTTTTCCGGTCGGAGGATCACCACCATCCAGGACCTCTTTCACAACCCGAGACGGAGCGACGGCGACGGGAGGGACCGGCGGTCCCGTCCGGCGGTCCCGACCCGCAGCGGAACCGGACCACACAGCGGCAGCCGGCGCCTTGTGCCACGAGGTAGCCCAGGATCATCCTCGGGAGCACGTCGCACGCGCGGAGCACGGAGCGAGCAAGCGGCACGGGCACGAATTGCGGAGACGTTCGACCTTGGACGTTCGACACGAAGTGGAACCAACCGGTAGACAGAACTCACATGTTGGAAATATGACAGAAAGTTGGTGAGATCTAGAGATCTATATCTTAATGTTGTTTTTCTGCTTGTCGTCTCCCATCAAAGAAACATGAATTAGGGGCGCATCATCTCTTTCGAAGTCTCGCGGATAGCCCATGTCCCGTTACGAGAATAGTTCACGCACGCAGAATGGGCCTCTAGGTTCCTTTGACGGAGAATCTTCCACAACAAGGTGGGTGCCAATGTGAGTCCCAGCCAGGGTTACTGTGTGCTCCACAACTCAGAGTTCCCATGTGCTAAGCTATGGCATATAACTATATAATGTATGATACCATAGTTGGGTGGTACCGTCCACCACCTACCAAAATAATGAATTATTTTGAGGTGGGTACACCCACCTATTTTTTTAAACAATTCTGACAGTCCGGACTGCCTAAAATAATATTCCTTGAACTTTCAAGGATCTTGTCAACATCATACAACTAGGAACATGGGGGTGGGTGGTATTCCTGGGGATTTACCGGGAGATTCATAGAAAGCGTCACGAACAAGTCATTCCACACTCAACCACTAGCAAAATAATTTGCCAAGTTCTTTTTCTGCTGTCATCTGCTGTCTTTCTGCTTTCTGAGGTGGTTGACTGATTGCTCCACCACCCAAATAAAATCTGACACATCTGGCACAAGCACAAAATATCAAAAAATGCACACTTCTCCAATAATCTGAGACTCTAAATTAATTTCTTAATTATTTTGGGATCCCCTTGTGTGTTCCCATAGCTGCTTGTCCGCCCCACTTTATAGCTATAAATCGCTGGGTGCATGTCTGCCTGGGGTATCTTAGCACTATAAAATTCAAAGGCCTGACTTACTATCAGACAGAAAGATCACTATAGAATCAACTCTACTAAGGACCAGGAGGTAGAAAAAGACATTGACCAGGTGCCCAAAAACACAGTATAGAATGGGGTGCACAAGCAGAAAAATCTAATGTCCTCCATGATTTTTTAATAGAAATTTGTCCGGAGAGCAAGTCGTGCTCAGATTCTATAGTAAATTTTGATTCAATCTGTCAAAATCGGACAAAGCAGCAACATGCAGCAAGTCACGCAATGCATGATTTTTCTCCTGCAATTGGTCTCATTGGATGCCTCCATGGGTGCTATTCCCATGCAACCACAGATGGCTCACTGTTAGATTCCGACTACTCCGATCCGACATTGTCCAATAAATTTCCCAAATATAAAACCATATGTTACGATTGAAAAAACACACAGAAAGCAACACACTATAAGTTCTACTGAAATGTGTCTTTTTACTAAAGGTAAATATGAAATAACATGTCAAAATATTTATATGATGTTCTTTGTTATTTTATCGATGTTGCATATTTTATCCATCAATGTGCACTATGATTTCAGAGACATTGATGAAGATGAGTTTTTTTGCTATGAAATCATTTCACTATAAAGTTACAGTCTCTGTGGCACACAGGCACAAGTCTCTCTATAGAATTATGCTGGTGTTTGCTCTGCGTGGTCAAAACCAGAATTTCTATGAAAAATGTGATTGCTATAGAATCATAGACGTCAATTCATAGTCTCTTGTGCTCTCTTCCAAAAGTTCCTGCTAGTCAATGCCTGAACCTCTGCTTGTGAATTTATAGTAATCACTTTGTGGGAGGTTTATTTCTATAAATCTGCAACACGTCCTCTTGATTTCATAGTGGAAATAGACACCAGGATATTTTGGGTACTTTGACTCTCGACGTGAAAATCATTTTGACCCCCACCACTACTCCCTGTTCGAAATAATATCCATGTGTAAATAATTTTGAACAAATATTTCAATATAGTACTGCCACCTATGAAATAATGTTTCATGGCATGGTACATATTATATATACCAGGACCCTCCAACAGGTGTTTTTTGTGGCTTTTGGAGACTTAAGAGTCGCAGGTGGTGACCTGTTGGAAGGTCCTGGTACTTGCATATTTAGTAAATACGTTGGGGGTTCACAGATCGATGTAGTGTCATCTGGGCAATGCATCTGCAAATCATCTTGATAAGATCTAATCAACCTCCATGAAAACAGAAAGGCCTTCCTATCTGCGGATTTGATGATAGACTATGGACTATGGCCATCTGGAAGCATGGGTTCCAAAAAGAGTAATTCCAAATTCAGAATGGTGATCATAAGGAGACATTGCCACAAACACGAATCTCCAATCCAGACATAAGAAAGATCCACCGCCAAGCAGCTTGAACTCTTCCTCCGTTGAGAAGCTATTCTTGATCTCCTTCATCTGCTTGCCCTGCGGTCGAAGGTTCTGCCGCTGATGTTCGCAGTCGCAGTGAGGGCTCATCACTTACCACAATGGCCCCAACTTCCAAAAAAGGAAGTACCTGGACCCGACTGACCCAGTACCTTAGAACATGGGACATGACCCCTCGAAAACCGGTACGACTGTACCCATTTTCCGAGGTACGAGTTCCGGGTCGACTCCAGGTAGTTGGAGAAGACCTCAGACGATCAGCCGCCAACGACCAGCATTCTCACTGCCGGGTCACCAGACCTCTTAGGGTCCAAGAGGAGACCTCTAAACAAAGAGGAGACCTCTCGGATGCTGGTATGCACTACATGGTGTCGTGCCTCCCTTTCGACCTGAGTTTGTCCCGGTCCTGGTCGACCAAGCAGGCCGCGTCCCTCCCATTTGGAGTAACATCGACGTCCCTCCCCAAGAAAACCGGCGGGTCGTTCGAGGTGGGACTTGTGTAGCGGACCATTCTCGAACAAGCACGGAATGTTGGGGTGCTTGTTACTCCGTCCCCGCTCAACGGTCGGTCGACGTTTCAACGGTTGCCACCGACCCGTGCCCAGCCTTGTGAAAGAGCGTCAAAGCTTCTGTAAACCTCACCCGGACGGTTGGATTTGGTACGATCCCGGACAGCTTCCGCGGAGACGGTTCCGCATCGACGAGCACCCGGATCCGGATGGCACGCGGGAAGGAGATAAGGGAGCCTGGGTGCGAAATGAACAAATTCCGAGTCGAAGAACAGACTGTGCCCTGGTAGCTGTTTGTTCCTAGTAGCGAACCTTGCTCCTAGTAAGGCCAGGAGGTCTGTTCGTAGCGTCCGATCGCTCCGTTCGTAGCGATGCCAGGAGCCCCGTTCGTAGCCTTTTGTTCCTAGTAGCTGGTTGGAACATGACGCAAGTTTGGAGCATTGGTACTGAACAAGGAATATCGCTACACCCCACCTCTACTGCATTGGTATGAAACGCCCGGGATGCGAAGAAGACATGTCCGGCTCATCGTACTGATGTGTCTCACACCTCGAAATCGAAGAAAAAATCACGAGCTCACCAGGTTTGGGCGAAGAAGCTGGGGGGTGGTCCTTCACCCAAACCCCACTTCTTCGTCTCCCCTTTACGTGGTCCATAGCTGGGAGAGGCCAACTGCCTGAAACCATCCATACAACCATCCAATGGAAATTCGTTGAAATCGATGGAAAGTCGTTGGTAGATCCATGAAACCCAAAAAAACACACCAAGCCCTTGCGTGATGAGCACACCAAGCCCAAGAAGTTGCCCCATGTCATCTTGCGCTGGCATGTCAATGTAGCTCTTGAGAAACTGAAGGAAAGCCTGTCCCAGACTCCCTGGAGGCATCATGGTTAAGTGGAGTTCACCACTCCCTTGTATGCCCTTGTGCAACCTGAGAAAAATAACTACGTAGTCCCACTTCCACCACTGGATCACCCACCTCAATTCGTCGAAGACACCATGGCCCCCTCGACGTGACGAAGAGAAATGTGGATTCCGGACCGAAGAAAGATCAGAGACCCGGACGTGATCGAAGAAACCTACAGACGGCAACCCCTCCATCGAAACCGAAGATCCTCCGAAGCTGAGATGATTCCGGACCCGACTCGACCTGCCAGGTCACCAGTCTGGTTCGACCTGAGATAGGGTCCAACAACCCTATCCCTACCCAGCCTGGCAGTCTGGTGCTGGGCGCAAACAGCAAGAAACCGGACCGAAGAAGGTCCTAGGTTTCCGGACGTGGTCATGGATTTTTTATCCTTGCTCTCAGGCGTGGGATGCTTCTTCCTCCAATCCTGCCCGAGGCTCGGTGCCAGCCGAGCCCGGTGCTGCATCGGTAGGCAGTGGACCAGTCGAAAGACCCTCAAAAACATCTCAGAACCATCCTTATGTGGGGCAAATACCAGCACCACCCAGGTCGGGTGGTTTATAGACCCCCCCTGAAGATGTACTTTCATGTACTTTCCATCTAATAACCACCCGAACTGGGTGGTGCTGGTATTGAGGTGATGTTCAAGATGCTTTAGGGATTTGTAGTGGGTCCATGTAGGCAAAGGAAATGTCCATAGATGGATGGTCTGCACCGTCGATCGTCGGCACCGCCACCTGCGCCCTTTTTGGCGCCAGGAGGGGAACACCCCTCCGACCGTGATGCTTCGTTGCTGGAGCGGAGGCGGCTCAGCCGCGTTTCTTCTGAAACACGGAAAATGGTGGATGGCCACTCCTACCAAGTATATCGTTGGTGAGATTCCTGCAGGATTGTGGACGCTTCTGTAAAAAAAGGCACATTCCGGTGGTCACGTTCTTCCCTGCATATCTTCCAAAAGCCACATCTCCAATGTGATCTTAAGTCAACCCCAAAGACTGGATGAAAAGGGCCTTTTCTTTCACTGGAAAACACAATAAGATCATATAACCAAAATGCTCCAGCCGTTCTTGTTTCGTTTTACAAGACGTCAACCAATTAACCTTGTTTCGTTGGGGGAAACCAATTCCAACCCAAAATGCTTCAACGGCTTCTTCCACCTTTTCCGTACTTCAGATCGCCGACCCCTTCCGACCCCACCGACGCCGCGCCCGGAAGTGCTGCGCCGCCAGCGAGTCGCGGGAAGTGTCCACGTTGGGCGCCAAAGCCACGCGGATGTCGTCGCGAAAGACGTTCACCTGGAAGTCGGATGAAGTCGGGTGAAGTCAGGTGAGTGACCTGTGACTACCTCAGACCCTAACAGAGTCACCTGGGATACCTCTATCTGGATAGTCGAACTAGGGTTCCAGAAGTGAGTGGAACGCATCAGAGGAAAAGGGCTCTGAATCCCGAAGAACCAGTCGTTGTACTGGTGCATGCACCACCCAGGTTGGCGAAAGAACGGACTCCCGGCGGCTATACCCTAGGGATCCAGTCGTACCTTCTCAGGTACGGTGATTGGAGGCACTGTTATGTAGGTTTGGAGGGTCCAGTCGTACCTTCTGAGAAGGTACTTGGATCCTTAGGGATACCCTGGGAGTCAAAGACCATAAAAAGAATGGTCTTTAGGTGACCCGAAAAGGAAGATCCTTTACATCAGTCGGTCAAACTATAGTCTTTGGACTTCTAGGGGATACATGGTATACATATCGTATACAGGTCGGTTCAGCTCGTTCGATGCTCCACCGAAGAACTGGCCCCCGACCTGACAAGATGCGTCGACCTGACAGGCAGCCGATGTATAAAGCTCCCCCTAGGCTTCCTGGCCCATTAATAGGCTGACTCCCGAATCAACTAAGGATTTTACACTACAAAAACCAGGTCAACCATTTTTTTTAATGGTCTTGGAAGTCTAGGGCTCCACTCTTCGTCCACCTTGATGAATGTGAATTAGGGGTCGCTTCTTTTCTCAGGTGCTCTGCTTGGGTCCTGGACCCACAACTATCCAGCTTTTTTAGAGACGAGCTTTTGCATGATCCACTTTTCCTGGGTCGCTTGGGGACTTCGGCAAATGGAAACTGGTTTGGAGGGTATCATCTCCGCCTCACAAGACTCTGTTCCTCTACAAACAGGGTGGTTTCCGGTAAAATCGTTTTTCTGGTGGTCTTCATTGACTTTCTGGCATGTGAACACCAATCTCTGACCTCGCATGAACGATTTCTTTACTGCGCTGGGTCTCCCCAATCATCAACAAACACCTCGCATGCGGGTTGCTTCTGCGCGAAAAGCCCCCTTCTGCGGCAACAAAGGGAGTAGATGGTTGCTTCAGTGGGGTGAGCATTGGCCCAGAGAACAGATCACCCTAGCCTTCAGTTCGAGCCTTCAAACACATGGGAACGCCCTGGTTTTGCAAAACAATGGTTCTTCAGGATTCGGGCTGTTAAACCCCAACAGTCAGAGGTGGGTCAGAACCTGAGCTCGACTCTCCCAGGCCTGGCTAACCCCCAGGGTAGCGAGCGAACGAGCGAGCTCGGGTCCTGTGGTCCCCGGTCACTGAAGACCTCTGCTGGTCGATGGTGCTTAAGGAGCCCTACGAGTCAGGTTCAGTTCGGTTGAAACCCGCAGCTGCGAGCGAGCTCAGCTGCGAGCTCAGCTGCGAGCTCACGAGAGCGCTTCCCGAAGCTCAAGCTCTTGACCGCTTCACCCCAAAGTGCCAAACTTGGGGCGTTTATGTCCAGCACCTTCATGTCGGGGTCACCCGGCTGGTTTCGCCCCTGGGAGTTCCCTACCATCCCCTAGCTCTACAGACAGGACACCCCGACATGAAGGTCCAGGTAGCGGTGCAAGGCGATGAAAGGCGGTGCAGGGCCAAGCATTCAAAGCCCTTTTTCTCAAACCACTTCAGCTCCCAAGGCACCGGGGGAGGTTCACCGGGACGGACGGGGGAGGTGTCTCGCCACCTGCTGTACCAGGTACCCTGGGAGAGTCGAATAGTCGGGTCCTACAACCTCTGTTGGTCTGCACTCACTCGCCAAGGCACCAATTTGGCCTTCTTCAGCACCACCAAGTGCCGTGCGGCCTCTTGTAAGTGGTGCATGTCCAGCCTGGTCGCGAGTCGCGAGGCGGAGGCGGGCGGATTCTGGAGGTTGCGGGAAGCGCGTCCGAAGTCGGAATGGTTGACTACCAGGTCCTTCCCAGAGTTGTCCAAAGATGACCTCTTAGTGGTGAGTCGGGGTGTCCAGAAACCGCCTGTTGGAAGGTGCTGGTAGATGGCTTTGTGATGTAGAATCCTTGGTCAAGCTCATGGTTCTTCGGTCCAAAACCATCTACCCAGACGCTCCAAACAACCCTTGGTCCCTCAAAACCTAGGGAATTGAGACCCCAGACCCCTCCATATGAGGGTCCAGGAATCCTACGGCCTCCCATTTCTACCCGACTCCCAGCCACGCGCGCGCTTTCCGCGCCCGGTGCGGAGGTGCAACTCAGAGAAGCTCAACGCGGCGTCCGCGTGCTGCACCAGGGTGCGAACCTCCGCCCACAGCTCGTTTCGGACGCCACGGCGACGTGCACCGCGGGGTTCGGACGCTTTTGGGACGGGGCGATGACCTCGGGGACGGCGGCAGTGGGTCTGTATTGGACGCCCCCCCGCCTTGGGAAGAGGTCCAAACCTGGATCTTCCGCAAAACCTTGAGCCTTTGGGGTGTCCAAAACGTCACGGATCTTACAGGTCGGTCGAGACACCAAGCCGATGTCCGAGCCGTGACCCGACTGACTCGGAGAAAAAGAAGAGCCCTGACTGAGTCGATGGAGTGGATTTGGCCGGTCGAGGATGCCATCCACCGACCGGCCATTGGCACGCCACTCGACGCCACATTCTTCCCAGGTGCTACTTCATCCGTGTCGGGACCCAGCTCCGACTCGATCTCCTGGGATCCGTCGCATGGGTCGTGGTCGCGTGGTCGCGGGAAGGTCACACCAGTCCAGTCCATTGTTTGACCCCTACCCAGACACGACCCGTCTGGGACTGCCAGTCCGGACTGAGAAAAGGCCAGGGGTGGTTGTTGTGTCCGGGGGTCGACCTCTGGAGTGGCAGTCCATCCTGGCAGTCCCAGATGGCGGTCGTGTCTGGGCTATGGTAACTGCATGGATTGACTTCCAGGTGGGGTCAAGCCAGGGGGGTCTAGCCACCGAACCTGAGGAGATGACACGGAGCCCTAGGGATTGAAAAACATGAAGAGCCATGTTTTGACTAAGTTTAGACCCAGCTCAACCGAACTCCTCGAAGAATCCAACGCGTCCGCTTCTCCGAGGTCGGAAACTCCACTGAACTCACCCTCTGCCTCAAGCCGTGCCACCATCCATGTGCGTACCACATGGTACCACATGGTACCACTCAGCTTCCTCCACCTGACTCTCAGTTCCTACCCCGGAAAAGAGTACAAGTACAAGTACCCTTTCTCTATAGGGCCATGGGCCATTTTCTACTTTGCAGGGTCCAGGTGATTGTAAGGCTTGCAAGCATTTGCTGCCAACGTGTGAACAAAATCCTTCGAAACCGCCGAAAGCTCCGCAGACCCCGCTTCGAAAACATGCGCTCTTTCACTTGGAACCAACGCGCCCCCTCCCCCGCTTTGGCCGGGAACGCGCGGGCTCCTCCCGTGCGCGGGAAAGGGAGATGCCCTGCACTGCTGAGGGCAAGGAGGGAGCGTCCTCGCCGCGGCGTCACGAGCCATCACGGAGAAACGTGCGACTTCCAAGAGGTGATGATGAAGTGGAACTATTCATTTTGTCCGTCGTCTGAAGTCATGACCCCATTTCAGGAGATCCCTTTCTGAACATCTTGGCTGACGTCTCTCAAACGCAGATCTTTCCCATCGTTGAAGATCTACAACCCATTTGACCCCCTGTCTTGATAGTAAGTTTGACCATATATCCCAGACGCTCCATATGTCATATTTGCCTACATTCGGGTGGTTTTGGGGGGTCAATGGGGCTAGGCCGAACTTGAAGGAGCTCCCAGGGAACTCCGCCCCCCGACGAGACCGTCACAGGGGAGACTCCGGGGTGCTCCCAGATGTGCCGGGAAAAACGCGGGCACGTGGCAAGGCTGCGAGTACAAACACCGTGGTACCAACGACCATCGGAAAGCACCCAACGGAGGTTGTTTGGGACCTTGATGACAAACCAACACAGGTTGAGTGACCCGAACTAGACTATCCCATAGAGGTACCCCACGTAGCTCGGGTCCTAGTTCAGGTCGCTGGCTACCTCTCTTGGACGGACTTCCATGGGGTGTCAACCGGCTCCGGAAAGTCGAACCGCAGGCTCCTGCTTGAACTCATGGTAGCGATACAGCTCTTCGCCTGCACCGAGACAGCCCAGCGGAGACATGGCTCAGTCTTCCCCCGCAGCGTACGTCGGTGGACGCCGGACTCGAGAAGACGAAAACCATGGGAACGACCGTATTAAGTAGTAAAACATCACCCAGACATACCCAGACGCTCTATGCATGGTGAAAATTTGTTGGGTCAATCGGCATGTCTATATTCCATACATGGAGTGTATGGGTAATGGTCGTTCGGACTTTCAAGAAAGCCCCGATGCATTTGCATCCATTTGCGCGCAGCTCAGAGACGGGCTCATTGACGGACCTTCACCCCCCCCGCGAGCGAAGAGTAGGGGCTCCGAGGTTGGAGGCCGCCCGTTTTCAGGGTCCGCAAGGTTGTCAACATTGAGGTGATCTTCCCAGACGCTCCGTGAAAACAGCCCGCTGGGTCCAGACCGTCCCGATGAGGAAGGTCCGACCCCTAGCATTCGGGGGCCTTTCGTTCGGGTCGCGTCTGGGTTCCAGATTTGGGGGCCGGGGGGTCGGAGTGGCTTCCGGGTGTTTCGCTGGCTCCTCTGTGGCTCCATCAACACACATACCCGAATGTACCCAGAACCTCTTCCGGGCAGGAGCCATGCTTGGAGCCCTAACGCACACCTGGAACCCCAGTCCCAACCAGAAACAATAATTGGATGTTCCAATATGGCATTTTTCAGGTCCTTTACATAGCTTACGTGGTTGTTTGTGGACACATCTGTGGAGGCCATCACTACTAGGTTGGAGGCCATTCCTAGCCTGTTAGGTTCCGTGAAGTCTTTTTTCTTAAAGTTTGGTTTGTGGAAACATCCATTCATCTTCTGCTTGGCACTGGGGTTCCAGGTCTCATTAAGCTCTTCGCCTTGAAAAGAGTCGAAAGTCGCACACGTGTCTCACACGGCTCACACGTTTGGCGCTCTGCGTCTCTCTGGGAGCCCCAAACCGTTCACTAAGATCTTCTGTGAGCCGGCCACCTGAGAGGACAAATCACGTCATGGAAGGAGTTGTTCATCAGTTGGGCGGAAACACACCAGGATTGAAAAGAAGGGAAAGAAGGAACCGCTCTGTTTGCATGTTGTTTGGCTTCGTGTTCGTTCTGATCTGATCCTCCACCCCCCGTGTTTGAATGCGTTAACATCACAAGCCCCCTTTCAATCAGGCTAGCAGTCCTCACCGAACTGTGAACCAGATCTTCAGCACAAAAACTTCTATTCTTCCTCTTCGAACTCGCGACTCGCATATCATATGCCGTGAAAACATGTTCACGAGGACCTGCATGATTCAACGGATCAGGCGCATGGAGCCTCTAACGCCCCCGGGCCCACCCAGAGGGAAGAGTCACCCCTCCACAGCCCCCCCTCCACAATTTGACCTACCCCGATGCCTCCCACCACCCCGCGCTGGGCGCGCCTTCTCCAACCACCCGCGCTGGGCGCGCCCACCCGCCTTCATGTTGTTGTGCAGCTCTCGAACCAAGAGCTCCAGCGGATGTTCACCTCAGCGCTGCACAGCGCGGCGTGCGGCCCAACGGGTCGAATCGTCTGGGGCCCGCTGAAGCAGAGGAGCTCCGAGGTCCAGGGGACCGATCTTTTAAGCTCTTCGGCCTAGATTCCCAAACGCTCCACAGTATGTAGGCATATGCCAGTCAGTTGGGGTGGTGCCAGGGGGTCAAGGTAGGCATATATTCCATACATGGAGTGTATGGGTATGGGTTCTTCAATGGGGGGTATCCCGGTATCCCCTCTATTAGGTCCGCGGCTGTCCGCCCCAGACGCGGAAGCGCGTCCAGCGGGGGAAAAAACCAAGGGCGGTCCGGCTCCCTATCTGCGGAAGTGGTGGATCCGGACTCGGTTTTTGAGAGGCCCCAGTGACCCTGTGAAAGAGAGGCTTCGGTTAGAGGTCATCGAAAGAGAGGACTCGAACCCTCGGCGGGGACCAAAACCGCTTGATCCCCCCTAGAAACTGAGGTCGCGCAACTGAGGGCCTGGATAGTTGGTGGGACTTAGGGTCTTTGAAGAAGCCGGAGGATGGGAATCTGCGAAGATTCATCCCACCTGGAATTCGAGCCCACGGTTTGTGCGTCGCAAGTAGGCAACAATTCCACATCACTGTGAACCATCTGCAGCTGGAAAGACGACAAGCTTCCATGCTAAAGCTCATCTAGCTCAGCCGTGTGAATTCCTGGCTCCATACGCAACCTTGTTCCTCCAACCCACGGAGAGAGAAACACATACCAGCAGTCACAAAACGGTGCCGAACTTGGAGGATAGCCCAGAACATCCACTCACTTAGAGACTAAAAACCACTCCGTCTTGTGACTCCTGGTATACAGCGTGTAGACACTCTGCGCCGCCACCTCTGTGTCTGCTGAGCGTCTGGTGGGTGTGGAGGTCTCCTCCAGCAGACTCGCTTGGCTCTGGCTCTTGATCCGCATCACATCCTCCCGTAGTCGCGGGGGTCGGCCAACTGTCAGGCAGGATGCGGGTCGTCACTAAAAACTGGCTGAGACCTGAGGTTTTGTAAAATCCTCAGTCAAGCTGGCTGGTTCTTTGGATTCCTTTGGTATAAAGCCTATGAAATGAATGAGTGGATAGTGGTATCCACATAAATCCCGACTTCTCACGTCACCGTGCCACCTCCGAAAAACACCTTGGACAGCAGCTTGGGCCTTTCAGCCTTCAAAAGACCGGGCAGGATGCCCAAGGGCCTTCAGCGGAAACTCCCGTGCCCCCCCCTTCACCGTCCGCTCAAGGCTATGCTGCAACCTTTGGAAGGCCGAAGAAACGCCGCCCTGTTCGGAGACCCGGCCGCTCCGGTGGGAGAGGTGGCCGCTGCCCGCCTTTAGACGTCGGACCTCACGAGAGATGTAGCCTCGACGACGGCGCCGTTTCAGGGAAGGAGGCGGAGCATCCCCAAAACGAGTTTCGGGCGGATGGAGAGGACCCCTCAAAAACCGAAGGGTTTGGCTTCGGGAAGCCGGACCCCTCACCCCGGGAAGCCGTTCACAGGCAGGGGAACTCGACGGTTTTCGTTTCGGTGTCGGTCCGAAACACTCGGATCATCGTGGTATCTGGGTGTCCTGGCTAGTCTAGTCCTGGACCTGGAGCAGCACGTGCAGCATGAGCAGACATGGCAGGCCTCTCTCTTTGCATCTGGCGGGATGAAAGACATCCAAAGGGCGAATCCCCAAAAAGGAGTACCAGGCCTTTCTCCCACTTGCGTACCAATCTTATACCCTATTTGGCACGTCTCAATGGCTTTCGGAATCGCACGACGAACTCGTCGCCCTTCGCGCTCGGCACGGACGGACGTGTCTCCCAGTGGCCATTGTTCACCTCGTGTCGACAAAGAAGGTCAGAGACTTGCTCCGTCGCCTCGTGAACGGCGACCGCGGCGCGTTACGCGGCCAACCCGTGAAAAGGCCGATCTGATCTAAGCCGCATTTAGGGTGACAAGCCCCGCCAGAGGAAGATCCAGATCGGTGTTGGAGGGCCTGAAGGCTTCAGGAATTTCCGAGTCAGGCCCTTTTAAACCTAACGTAGACTACACTCGCAGGGATGCACTTAAGACTGCGGGTCTGAGAATGCAGGTCTAGACCGAGAATGAGCCCCACGGCATGCTACGGCGTTGAAATGGGTCAGGATTCCACGTGGACAATGGCAAACAAATTCAATACCAGGACCCCCTTATAAGGGGTGTCTATCAATAGCCCCTTAGTGTCCGTGAACCACCCCTTGTGTGTCCTGGTTCGACCAAACTTCTAAAAATCCTTCAGATCTCAGGATTTCATTTCAGCTTCCCTGAGGCTCCAAGTGCGGACCCTCCATGAAAAAAGGGAATAGACACCCACCGCTATAGCTGTTCCGTCACCGAGCTCGGGCCCTGAGCTTTGGAGGGTCACACGGGGCATCCTCCAGATCCTCTGGATCCTTCGACTCTCCGCCGCGCGACTCGCCTCGCCGCGCGACGCGCGCCGCGAAGGATCCGGGGCTCGCCTCGCCGAGCACGCGCACGCGTTGCTCCAATCGTCGCACGAGTTTGGAGTCCAGGACGTGCCTCAGCTGGTGGATGCTGGTGGGTTTTCTCCACCCAGACGCTCCAAACAGCCCTTGCGTCCCTCAAAACCATAGGGATTTGAGGGTCCGGACCCCTCCAGAGGATTCGGGTCCGACCCCTGCATAGGTTCGGGTCCAGGAGCGTCTGGGAAGTCCCAACCACTTCCCAGGAGCCACTCGGTTCTTGTAGATGTCTATAGTCTAATGGTTGTAGGTGGAACCCTCAGATGGCTGGAGGATGGTACCAACTGAGGGTCCCTATCGGTAGGATTCCAACCACCACTAGAGTCTTATAGAGTCTTTACCGATGTGCTTTACGGAGCTTCGGCTACAATAGATCTTTCACCGACCGACTGTCTTCAGGAAAAAAAAGGAAAGGGCGGCCAAGGCGCACGATGTTGAAGCATTGAACGAGGCTTCCGGACTCCAGTTGCTCGGGCCATTCGTCCATCTTCCGGTTTTGCAGCTTGGCGAAACCGCAAGGGTAGGAGACGAAGAGCAAGTGGTCGTGATTCTCCCTCAAACAGTCGGGCGCAGTTGGTGATGCGGGCGGACCAACCAGTTGGTGAACGCGGGTGCCATGGAGCATGGCGGTCTGGAAGATCCGTTGGATTTGATCCTCGCAGCATTGACCGAGACTTGTTGACCTCTTCTAGCACCTTCCGTTCGTCCGGTGGTTTCTGGACACCCCGACTCACCACTAAGAGGCTATTGTCTAGACACCTCGAACGGTGTCGGTCCTGGTTCTTGTTTCATGGTTCCGTAGGAGCCAGAGTTGGTTCCCAAGGAATGTCTGTGGGAGTCTCATCGTTTCGAATCTCATCGCAGAGACCAGGTGGACGAGAAGTTTGGTTGGGTACCACCAATTACCACCGAAGGTTTCAGGAAATTCCTGACTCTAGGGTCATCTACCTGGACCCTCCAACAGGTGTTTCCTGGTGACAAGTCCGGTGCCCAGAAGCCGCCTGACTTCGGCTTCTAAAACCACCTGTTGGAAGGTCCTGGTATGGTCATCTAGTCGCTGGACTCTCAGGCTGTACATGTTAATGCAGCACTGCCAAGAACCTTGTTCTACACCATCTTACTTTGCTATAACGGCCTAATTCTTTCGGCTACCGCCAGTATTTCTAAACCGGAAGGGCCAGTGGGAGCCTCCTGGCACCACTGCTGTCCCACCCTCTGACTCAAGTAACTGGAGCTTTCGAGGGGGGCAAAGCCTGGATCTTCCAACCTCTCCCTGCCGAGCTTGGCTGGAAGGATGAAAGGCCCCACATTCTCCTTCACTTCTAAACAATTGACCATCATGCATGTATCAAATATGGACTATAATGCAATATCAAATAAGCTATAGTTTATATATTTATATGATATATGAATATAAACACCTTGGAAGATCCCAGGTAGAATCAGGTAGAACCCTTGCAACCCCATCCCCCACGGCAAAGCTCCGACCCCGCGGAAGAATTTCATCGCCGCATCCCACCGAACGACAGAACCCCCAAGCGGCTTGTAGTTGTGTCGGTGTGAGGTTTCAAAGAGCCCCGCATCCTGGGCGAGGGAGGACATTCACCGTCACTGGCGGAAGAGACCTCCAGCAAGCTTTGGCTGTGGATCATGGCACCGGGGGAACCCTGGTTGATTAGAGAAAATGAACCGAACGGACGACGACGAGTCGGAGGCCAACCGACCGGGGACAACCGAATCTCCAGGTGCCATATATCCCCCCACAGTCATATGGGTAGAAACATCGCCGGCCTCATAAATTGGACGAAAAAGACGGTGTTCTCAAATCCCAGACACTCCATGGGACTGGCATGGACTGCCATATGTGCCGCACTTCATGGGGTCCCCGATTTTGTAACCCAGTACCCCCATCGCCCTCCTCGGTGTCATTGGAGTCGGGAACCACGTCGTAGCATTGGCCCATTGCCCAAAACCACTCCAATTGATTGGCAGTCCTATGGCAGTCCCATGTGTCGTGTCTGCGAATTGGTTTCTGTCAGCCGTCACTGGGCCACATTCGATGCCACTGGGCACCACCAGGCTGGAGGCTGTGCTCGGTCCCAACCCTCCACATCGTGCACAGTTCCAGCTGTGCGTGCTCGGTCCCAACCCATGGAACGGGCACACCGAAGTGCAACAGCTCAAGTCACTCGAGGTCCATCCATGAGACTGGAAGATTGACCCTTCAAACCCCTTCAAACCTCTTGAAACCTGCACTGGTGCCTGTCCCGGTCCCAGAGGAAGGAGGTTGGGTGCTCCTCATCCACACATCCGCGAGCCCTGGATGGGACGAACCAAACCATCCCACTCCATGTGACTAGAAATCACTTCAAGCTTGGCAAATATTCCCCCATGGATTGCTAGGGTCATCCAGCAGTCACAAGACGGGGTGCTATCCATGGAGGAAGTCGGGGTGCCCCTGTCACATCCTCTCTGGATGGGACGAGCACCACCACCCCGTCGAACGTGACTCCTGGATATTAGAGCTCCGTGCACCAAGTCTTCGACATCACACTCATCACAAGACCTAATCAGTGGAGTCACCTCACAAGAAATGGACGGAAGAGCTCTCCAGCTTAGGCGTTTTGCTGCAGACGTGGCTGGCGATGTGGCATGGCAAAAGTGCATGATTTGCTGCAGACAGGGCTGTTGGAACATGGTCAAGAACACCCTCAAAGACACCCTCCAAACTGACCCATGACCACAGGAATGTGTCTATCGCACGTGGAAGTTCTTGGAGAACCGTGAACATCTGTGCATCTGTGCTTGCAGCGGTGGTATGTCAGCAGCAAGTCTGCTACTTTGCGTCCAACCCTTCCCAATGGGTCCATGGGTAACTACCGCCAACAAAAACACATGTTGTTGGGAACATTCACTGAAAAGCCCAATACCAGCACCCTCCAACAGGTCACCACCTGCAACTTTGAAGTCAGCAAGGTCGCCACCATTTCGGAGACCTGTAGAGTCGGGTGCTGGTAGGTGTCTATCCGTATGAATTATCCAACCCTTCCATCTCTGTCAGGGCACCAGCTCCATCACGGCGCATTGGTTGCACATCATCTCCTGGCGCAGTCTGGCGTTCGGGATCAATGTCTCACGGGAACGACCATGAAAAACATGGGAAGGACCTGGTGTTTGTATATACCCTAAGGATCCGTGGACCCTCCTTAGAAGGGATCGAACCCTGCTGTTCACAAGGGTTTGGGGCCCCTCAAAACCCTTCTTTTTGAGGGTGCGGATCCTTAGGGTATATAGTATAAAATCCATACCAGCACCTCTAACGGGTCACCAGTCTGCTTCGACCTGTTGGGGTCCTTCCCAACCCTATCCCTACCCAGCCTGGCCAGGAGGGTCCTGGCAGTGGATTCAGGATGACCCGCCTATTTCAGTTACATGGTGGGGCCAGGATCCACCGAGCAGAAGCAGACTCTTCTGCCCAGCTGGGAAGCGGCAGGAGCTGAGAAGCGAAGGCAGGTGGTGGAGCGGGTGCCAACAGAAAAGAGTATAGCTGTTTGAAGAGGGGCATGTCATGTCCCATTTTCTAGGGTACAAGTCGGATCCAGGACTAGGACCTCTCTTGAAGCCCACCCTCCCTTCCAACCAAAACCTGCGGCGACGCCCATCCTCGAGCGATACCCACACCGCTCCTACGGTCCGCACAGCCCCGTGCGGTGCACTCGAACGGCGGTACCCACACCCGCTCACGGAGCCTGGGACATGGGCAGGACGAACTTCGCCAGCGAGCTGCTCGGTACCTGGGCGAGACGGGGCGCGCAGGCGACGTGGCATTGGCGCCCGGGACGGGTTCGTTGTTCGTCACCGATTTCGCCGGGCTCCACCCGGTCCAGCCCATCTGCTGCCCTGCCGTAGTACTGGCACCGGTTCTCCGACGCACTCCTGTCCGCATGTGGTCCGTGAACTTTCCCAAGACTGGCACTGGGAATGAAATGACCTACCCTGACGCTCCTGGACCCTCATATTGGAGGGGTCCGGACCCTCAAATCCCTATGGTTTGGAGGGACGCAAGGGCTGTTTGGAGCGTTTGGGTATCAAAGCCAGTCCACTCGGTTCAAGTGGTTCACTCCGACACCATGGTAGACTCCTTGATGATCTTTCAATCCCCCAACGTGAAGAACATGTCATGCACAGTCTTTGGTTTTTGTTCATCAAAATTCTATACCAGCACCGAAACCAACAGGTCTTCGATGGCTGGAGGGTGACAGGTTAGGGCCCTAATGAACAGGTTTCAATTGGTGACCTGTTGGCCGTCGGTGCTGGGTGTATGTCTGCACCCTAGCCTTCCAAAACTATCACCCAAACGCTCCGTTTACAGCCCTTGGTCCCTCAAAACCATGGGGTTTTGAGACCCCCAACCCCTGACCCGAGGATTCGGGTTGCGACCCCTCCATAGGTTCTGGGCCGAACGGGTCGCGTCTGGGCACAGACTATCTTCCACATGGTTCACCTGGTTTTGTCGCGTCAATTCAGTGGGTTCTTGGGCCATGCAGGCTACTCTAAGAGGCACCGAGCCCGCCCGTTCCGCAACAACACATAGCCCTTGGAGTCAAAGACTATATATAAAAAGAATGGTCTTTAGGTGACCCAAAAAGGAATATCTCTTACTTGAGTCGGTCAAATATGGTCTTTGGACTTCTAGGGATAGGGTTTGGTGCACCAGGGCCCGTTGTCTTTTGTGCGTCACTCGGTGGAGAATCGGTCCGAACCCCTGGTCACCCGAGAACCTGAACTCGGATTGTCAACAGAATTCCATGTGTGAAGCCTAGGGTGACATGAAGGTGGGCCTCCCGGATGGTGGAAACACCTGGACGGCACGTGACGGCACGTGACCTCGGACGCCACGCGACGGTACGGAGAGAGCCGTGCTGGCGCCCAGCACCTGGGCATCCCGGCTCCGAAGAACTGCAGCGCCTGGAGGTGGAAGGTTCCGGCAGGCAGGGAGGCGCGAGCAGGTAGCAGTGATGGACCGTTCCGATAATAGATCAGATAGATAGCCCTATAGGCTTCCTGGCCAACCATGAATTTGAATGGGTTGGTCATCCCAAATCAACTAAGATAACTCAGGAGTTTACACTACTTCCAACCAGGTCGTTCCCGTTTTTTTATGGTCATTCCCGAAAGTCTAGGGGATAGAAGAACGGGCCAAAGGAAGCCAATCCATGCCTCTTCTCAACATAGCAGGAACGTTCTGCGAACGTTCATTCCGGTCGTGTTCCGAGCCAGAAGTTCGGTCCAAGCATTTCGTTCTGCATGTCGTTGGAAGATCCCTCATATGGAGGGGTCCGCACCCGAACCAAACCCTGTGGTTTTGAGGAACCCAAGGGCTGTTTGGCGTGTCTGGGTGCACCACAACATGAAGTCCTCACGTTTCAGTCCTGCCCAGACGCGACCCTGGACCCTCCTTCCTAAGTAGGGGCCGTACCCTCATATGGAGGGGTCCGGACCCTCAAATCCCTATGGTTTTGAGGGACCAGTCGGGCTGTTTGGAGCGTCTGGGCGCTTCGCATTCTTCGTTTCGCCGTCCGAACACTTCATCGGCGCAACTTGACGTTCTCACCGAGTGAGTTTTTCACGGCCCTGACCTGTCACGGCCGAAGGACCGAAATGGAGTGGGTCATACCCAAAAACCCACTGCGAAATGGGAGCTTTGATCTTCTACCAGACAGCTCTGCCAGGTCACCAATTGAAACCTCTTCATATTGGGCCCTAACCTGTCACCCTCCAGCCATCGGAGACCTGGTTTCGGACCGGAGGGGGGGTCGGACCTGACGGGTCGGGTCGGGGGTCGGGTCAGGGGTCGGTTTCTCACCCATCCCGGGTCGGTCCGGTCGGTCTGGAAGTAGGGATGGGAAGTATACCAGCACCCGATCTTCACAGGTGCTTCCTGGTGACAAGTCCGGTGCCCAAGTAGGTGCCCTTTGCTGGTCGGGTCTAACAGCCTGGCCAGGGTCCTGGCAAAAGGGCGGAGTTTTCACGAACACACGGAACGTCCACGGCGTTGGGAAGAGCGATGGACAAAGGTCGGGACCTTTCTTCGCTTTTCAGGACAGATGCCGAGTTCGGACCTCGTCTCCGGGGTCGCTGTGGGTCCCCCCTGGGTCCGGTCCCGGCCGTGGTCCCACCTGCTTGTTGAGATCCTCTGCCGAAGACATCAGCGGTGCCCCTAACGACTCCGGGCCTCTGGCCTTGGGCGGTTTCTTCGTTTCCACCCGCGATCGTCAAGGGGGGGCGGCGGAACGTCGTTCCGTTCAGAACGAAGCATGGGACTGCCGGACGCGACACGTCGACGGATCGGCGGAGACAAGGCCAAACGGTGGACCGGTCAACTGATCGGCTAGTCCAGTCCCATGGAGTAGTAATAGTAATGAGATACCTTGAAAAACCCACCAACCAGGAGTCACAAACGGGTGGTGTTTAGTCCCCAAGTGAGTGGATAATCACTCCTAACCTCCATTAAGCACCCCTTTGTGACTACTGGAACACCCCATTTGTGTGAGTTGATTTCAGGTTTGGATTATGGCGATTATGGTGTTTAAAGAAAACTGCATGCTTCTTCAGTACGTGACCGATCTGCCTAAAGCAGGTCAGTAGAAGAGCAATCGGTCGATTCTTCCGCCAAGAGATCTGTCGTGATCTGTCTTTTCACCCACCCTAAGGATCCGCACCCTCAAAAACAATGTTTTTGAGGGTACAAACCCTTGTTATAGAGGGTTCGATCCCTTCTAAGGAGGGTCCACGGATCCTTAGGGCAACATGTCTTCCACTCGGAACGCTCTGAACGTTGACCTGCATGCTTTCTGCGGTGAAAGCTGAGAGGGCGTGCCAAGCAGGACCAGCATGTGCCAAGCAGAGGGAGCTACCCTGAAACGGTTGTGCGGATGGCATGGCCCCGAAAAAAAATGGATGACCTTTTGGACGAAACAAGTGGTGTTTCCTCCACGAAACCATGATGGTTTCAGGGAGTGTTGATAGAGTTAGAGATGGACAAATTGTGCCATGTTTCATGATTCTGCTGAAATCTGTTGAAGGAGATTCTGCTTGTAATCAGCATGGTGCAGGCTCCAAGCCCAAACTGAAAAGGGCCACTCGGGAGCCAGGCAACGGAGCTGCCGGCTCCACACCCTTCCCCTCTCGTGTTCGTGTCACACGCGTCGCGGCGCTGCCGGGCCCGAGCTCCCCGCCCGAAGGAAGGCAGGACTGGTTGGCTCCAGTGACTCCTCTTCCTCAGTGGGATGACATGCCTCTCAACCCAGCGATGGCCTCTCAACGCCCAAAGAAAAGAACGGGTCAGTCCAGCTCATCCATTGGAGCAAGACTTTGCTCTGTATTTCCAGCACTGCAAGAGGAGGGAAACATCGCAAGGCCTCTGGCCTGGGACCCAGCCGACTCATCACAGGCGCCCTACGCCCGACGTTGGAGTCTGTTTTCAACACTCTTAAAAGCTGCCCCTCATCAAACGAATATATAACATACAGAAATATAACTATAATACAGACTACATATAGGTTCAATTGAGATAAGAGTTCTGGAGCATAGTGTTGGGATAGATCGAGGCAAATGACGTAGGACTTGTTTGCAATGACGCTCTCCCTATGGGCCAAAACTGACCGAGCCCAAGCCCAAGCCCGCGGCCATCGCCCTCCAAAACCGAGGTGCGTCCTCCTCCAGGACATCAAGGCCATCCTGCACAGAGAAGAGAAGAGAAACGCTCGGCCACGGGCCATGTCTCTTGGATCGGAATGAATCGAAGATCCAAACCCTACCCAGACGCGACCCGTTCGGCCCCGAATCAGGGGTGCAGGGGTCCGGACCTTCTCACCAATCGCTATGGTTTGGTTCGGGCCCAGTCGGCCTGTTTGGAGCGTCTGGGTAGATCCTAGATTCCAAGACGCTCCGTTTTCGTGAACACAGCCCGTTCTTGGGTCCCGAACCAAACCGGATTGGTGAGGGTCGGTCCAGACCCCTCCAACCCGGGTGCCGAACGGGTCGCGTTCGGGGTTGGTTCAAAACGCTATGGTCTCTTCGAAGATCCAAACCGACGCGGTCCGGATTTGGTGACCAATCCGGGTTTTCATGGATATGTCCTATACTGGCCCAAACGCTATCATGATGGGCTCCCAAACCCTAAGAATCCGGGCCCTCAAACAGATAGGGTTTGGGAAGGGTTTCCCTGTTTTCCCCCCTCCTCGGTGGAGAAGGTCCGACTCAGACCACCGAGAGCCCGGGGATGGATTCCGGATCCATCGACCTCTCCATCAGCCTCTGCAAGGGGTCTCCCCCGTCTTGGACCACCCATCGACTGACTGGCGCCACCCCAGATCGACCGGCCCCCGTCCAAACGGACCAAGCAACCCCCGGCTGATTTGGGAGAAGCAAGACAGGTCGTGTCCCAGAGAGGTTTGTGGTCTGGGTACTGGTCCATGACATGGTCCTGAAAAACCTCTTTTTTGTGTTGTCTTGTTGTATGAGCGACTCCTGTCATAAGATCCGTTCCTGACGTGCTGAAGGATGTGAAAGGAGGTGAAGGATGGATGGAGAAGCTGACAAGATGGATGGAGAAGCTGAATCAACACTCATGCTTTGGAACTGTTCCAGAAGGTTTGCAGCTCTTTTTGGTCCATGAAAATGGGACTCTCCCTATTCTTTTCGACATGCCCAGATCCGGAAATTATCTTCACATGGACATGGCGAATCAACGTGTAGCCCCTTCATTGCGACCCCAGTCGTTGGGGCGGATCCATGCATTGGAGCTGGCGGATGCCCAGAATCGTTCCAGACTACTCTCTCACTGTTTGTTGGTCACGACCCGCACGTCAGAAACCAAGACAAACCCAGGTGAGCCCGAGACCCACTCTGTGGCAAGAAAATGAACCTATACCTTGTCACTAGCCAGTTCACTTGTCAAATTGAATGTTCCAAGCTTGATATTCTTGACAGAACTGAATTCTCCTGCTCAACAGGCTTCCCTGCGTGTGGCTAGGTTTTTCAGGGAAGATCCCCCGACAAATCATGGACTCTTCTCTGAAAGCTTTTGCAGCTAGTCCACTGAACAAACCTTCAGACACCCTCCCCCCCCGAAATCGCCCATCTCCTCCTCTTTCTCTTGGCAGAAGTACAGCACCTGTCAGCCACTCTCGTCGTGCACAGACGAAATCGACACCTGTCCCGGTTCACCACGACGACACAAACGACAGGCTGTCGATGTTCGATTCCGATCGGCCGCAAGGGGTGCTGGTCATCCGTGCTTGCAGGTCATCCGTGTATCTACTCTATACCTGGACCCTCCTTGCAGTCGAGGGAGGTGTTACCTGACAATATTCAGGTGGTGCCACAGGTGTGGTAAACACCGGAGACAGTCCAACAACCACACTGGCCTGGCGCGTCGCGCGTCTACATCCACCGGCCGTCCCAGATAGCTTTCTCCCAACTCCCAAGGACCTGGTTGTATAGAAGCAATTCCTCAGTGGTGGTTGTTATGTGCCCTAAGGATCCGCACAGGGTTCGATCCCTTCTAAGGAGGGTCCACGGATCCTTAGGGTGGTTGTTTAGCTGGAACTTGGCCCAAAACAAAGAATCCGGTTAAAAGAACGCCATTGGAAGTCGCTAGACTAGAGCTCTCCAGACCCTTGGCCGGCCACCTTCTTCTCTGCCCCCGCCTCAGGAGACTGTGAGGGCAAACGTGCCAAGAGCAAGGTACCCAACAACGCCTCGCCAAAGCCGTCCATGGCATGGCGCGAGGAGCGTGGCAACACGCGCGATTCTCGCTGCAAACACACGGGTGCGGTGCTGTGGCGGACTGTGCTGCGGTCGTGTCCAGGGTCGTGAGTGAAAAAACTGGATGAACAAAGCCCTCTGCACATCCGAAAGGATAGAGAGGAATCTCTTCAGGGCTTCAGGGATCCTGCTGTGGCTGAAGGGCTGTGGAGTCACTGAAAAACCTGTGGAGAGTCGATCTGCTCAGTCGATGGCATGACAGTCACGGATTCGTGCTGAAGCTAAAGACACCGTCTTGAAGCTGAAGCGTGCCTAAGATCATTAAGCTGTTGCCTGCGAGAAGCAGAAAAACCGTGCATGTAAAGCAGAAAACCAGTAGACTCTAAACCTATCCCATCACCGAAAAACCGTCAGCTGAGATCTTCTTCCTGAACGACTGGACCATGATCTGTCAGCAGTTTGCCGTTCGTGGTGACTGAGTAGTGTGGCGACTGAAGCCAAACTGTTTAATGTTGAGGACTGCACGCAAATCATGAGGGCTAAAATTATGGACCTTCGTAGATGTTGAGGATGGTTTTCTGCAAAAGTCTACTGTTAGATCTCATGATGCAGATGTTCAGGGCTTGGCTTGAGACAGAAGCGGCTGAACCGCACACGCGAGCCGAAGAAGAGGCGGGAAACCGGCGGGCAAATCATCCGACCCACGGTGGAGGGATACTTTTGAAACTGACGCCACGCGCGACTCGTAAAGGAAGAAGGGACCAAGAGAGGGACCCGAGCTCGCTACCTGGGGTACCCTTTCACCTGGGATAGTCGAACGTTCGGGTCATGAAAAACCAGTGTTGGGAATGGATATGCCCTAGAAGTCGAAAGACTATAAAAAGAATGGTCTTTAGGGGAACTGAAAGGGAACTTCCTTTACTCCAGCCGGTCATAATATAGTCTTTGGACTTCCAGGCCGGGTGCAGAAACGGGTATCTCTTGGGCTCGGGGGCTGACGCCACCCTTCATTCCCAGGAGTTCGCATCAGTCAGAACAGGCGCCGCCGAGACCTTCGCGAGACGACCGGGAACGCTCCACGGAGACGACCGGAATCAGCACAGAAACGGCGCTGAAAAAGAGGTTTCTTAATTTGTTCCCTTACTAATTTAAATAGGGACAAATAAATAATCAAATATTTATATATACCAGGATCTTCCAAAATGTGGTGTTAGAAGCCTAACAGGCGGCTTCTGGGCACTTGTTGTCACCAGGAAACACCTGTTGGAGGGTCCATGCAGGTATATATACCCTAGGCTTCCAACAACCATTAATTTAATAGGCTTTACCCAATCAACTAAGGATTTTACAATACAAAAACCAGGTCAACCATTGTTTTAATGGTCTTTGACTCCCAGGGTATATATATATTATTATATATTATTGTATATAATCATGGAAAAAAATAAACGACCCCCCACATCCAAGGCCTCTGGTCAACCTGTCTCAATGAATGGTGTTGTCCGGGAACATCGACGGGAAACCCTTTGTGTTCAACCCCAAGATTCTATGCCATGTCTAATAGACTACCCTACTAGACTAGGCTAATAGGCCTCTGTCGACAGGTCACCCAGACAGGAAGTGCGATGTTTTCCTCGAATGGCCCGAACACCGAACTTCGCTGCCAGTCACCACGCCCAGCCAAACAGGACCGCAGACTCCGTCCTGGAGGCAGGACAGGCTTTGACTCCTGAGTCCGACCGGGACCGGCGCCGGGGACCGAACCTGCGACCGAAGAAGTCTCCAGGCAGAGCTCGGAGTCGTCGGGTCCAGGTATAGCGGTGTCGATTCAAACGAGGGGGGGGCCCTATTTCATCGCCTCTAGCGGTGTCGACTGGTCTGTGTTCATCGATTCTCCTACTTGATGTCTTCTCCCTACAAATCGTCGCAGGATGACCATAGACACCTGCATCATCTCTGTCACCCTACTTGACGCATACACACGCTCACACAAAAAGATACAGTATATTCTTGAGGAAGGAATGCTGGGACAATCCAAACTTCCCTCAAGACTCCCTCCTGCTGTCCTTGAGTGGGAAAGAATACTGGCCATGATCCCCTTGGTTCAAACGTCCGGCGCTGGGTTCTCCCGTTTTGGGTGATGCAACGTTGAGAGAGGTCTTTGGACCCCACTACAAGTCTAAATTCACATGTACTTGTACTGGGTTAGGCAGGAGTGTACTCCAGACTTGATCCGTTGCACTGGATGCCAACAGCGCAAGGATCACCAAATTTAATCACGACTCGGTGTGTATTTCAATAAGGAGACCCCCTGACCCAATGGGTTTGGTCCTGTATTCCTTCTTCCTGTATTGGGGGTCGAATGGAGGTCGGTCTCTCTATTTTAAGGCACACCCACATGCATCATGAGCACGATGGGCCTCAGATGGTCGGCTCAAAAGGAGGGGGGGTCAATGGGTCAACTGGCCGCCCTCGGTCCGTTTTGCGGTTTAAGGGGTCAACGAACCCACCTCAGCCAAATCCAAAGAAAAGGAACCAAAATGACTGCACTTGGGTGCTGAATGGAGGTTAGTGAGGGGCGCTGCTCACATCACATCCACTCACCTTGGGGTGTCCCTTCCACAAGATCTGAAAAGAAGAATAACTTCAGCCTTGGCGATCTGAGAAGAGACCAACCAAATGCTGTCTGTGCCAAGGCTGAAACCGGATGGTTGTTCAGAGCGACTGAGGACTTCGGCTTTTTGTTCGGTCGTTGCTTTCGCCCGCGAAGCCGCGCGGCCGAGAACCGATGGCAGCACGGCCCCTCCATGCGTACCTTGAAGAGTCTTGACTCGTAGTTGACTCCTATTCGACAACAATGGCCACTCATACCTGGACCCTCCAACAGGTGTTTCCTGGTGACAACAAGTGCCCAGAAGCCGCCTGACTTCGGCTTCTAAAACCACCTGTTGGAAGATCCTGGTAGTTGACTCCGGTATTGGTTTTCGGACCTTGGACCATCTGGTGGCTTCATCAGCCAAGCTCGAGGTTTTGGGGGTCCAGCACTTCTGTTTCGTTTCAGCCGCCAGCCGCGGCGCTGGAGGGCCCGTCCTTCCACGGTCTGACTGGTTTACTGGGACATATATTGGGACACATGTCTTGCTTCACCAAGTCTCAGAGGTGAAAATGGTGAGCTGACGCCCATCCTCCACGCTGCCTCCTTATCAGCTGGGCCTCCTGTTTCACAGGAGTCACCCAGAGGCTCCGTGCACCGGCCTGCTGGGTCCCGAACCAAACCATGGGGTGTGCTGAGAGGTTCAGTCCAGAGTCTGGAGCCCACCAGTTCGGATTCGGGTCCGACCCCTGCAGGCTTCAGGTCCAGTGCAGCGGACGCGGGGCTTTTCACGGGACATCCCCGAGCCCTGCGCCGTCCTGGCCGGATCCGGGCCGTCCGGCTGGGCGGTCATGAGCGCACGCAGCCAGACCGATGGCCAAAGTCCAGTCACGTTGGGACATCAACCAAAGGAAAAACTCAGCTTGGAAAAACGGACCTTGCTGTGTAGCTCGAATAGGGAGACTATGGGAAAAAAAGAAAAAAAACATGATAAGACCTCCGAAAAATATATCACAAGCCCTTAGACCAGTGGGTCTCCCTATTTATATAGACACACAAGCACTTGAAGCTGCCGCGATTGAAGCTGCCCAGTCCTGGCTTTGCCAGTCACCGTCAGTGAGGACGGCAAAAATCCGCTAAGTTTCGCAGGATATGGCTTTTGCTTCAGGCATTTGGCAGGCCCTAGCAACCAGAAATAGAAACCTTGTCGGACGTGGACCCAAAATCAGCTGTGTTTCTCTTCATTCCCCCGATTGTCTTTCATCCATCGCCCCTTGTGCCTGTGTTGTGTTGACTGAAATCATGATCCTTCTCAAATCATTGATCAACAACCAGCACCTTCCGTTCGCCCGGTGGTTTCTGGAGTGTCCCGACTCACCACACCACTAAGAGGCCAGCTCGTTGCACCTCCGTCCGCTCATCTTGCTTCGAACCCGGTCGTGGTGCGTGGTTCGTCAACACGTCGAACCCGGTCAGACGGTCCAGGTGCCAGGTCAAAGAAACAAAACAAACAAACCCCCCCAGCTTCTTCAGTTCGTGACCTTTTGAAGGTTCCATGCAGTGACCCTACTCGGAGGCTTAAGTGACCGAACCAACCAGGTTATCAAGTAAGGTCACTTTGAAGAACCAGGCCTATGGTAGACCTGTTGGTGCGGTTTCTTCCTTCATTGTCGTGTCCCTTTTTTCGTGGTCTTTTTCTCAGTCAACGGCTTACTGACGAATGATGAAGGTCATTCCAAACGTGCAAGTTAGTGCGAGTCGCATCGAAAAAAGGCTACTATGCCATATGTATGCCTTGAAGGGTCAGCAAAAGCCTCGTTTCCACACATGGAGTGTCTGGCCGTCTATCGACCAGTTCTGCATTGCCCTCCCAAGGAAGCGGGAGGGCCCTGCAAAAGACTTCGTTCGTCTTTCGCAAGACCGCGGGCCTTGTCTGACAGCCGGAGAGCACTGGAAAATCGGTGAACCGTGGTGGGCCGATTTCTGGTGCTTCAACAGACTTCCACAGCGGCACCGCGATGGCCCGACCGGACGGACGTCGGCGCAGTGAAACCCGGGCGCCAGAGCATCCGGCCGCCCTTAAGAGCGAACAGAATCTGAGGTCCAAGCGTGGTCCGGTCGTGGTCGTGACGTCAGAATCTTCGGGGCCCAGACGCTCCGAAGATTCCCAGGCCGACTGGTCCCTCAAAAACCTATGCCCTAAGGATCCGCACTCTCAAAAACCAGGGTTTGGTTCGGGGCCCCTGTCACCCCGTAGTTCACAGCAGGGTTCGATCCCTTCAGACTGGAGGGTCCGTAAGGATCCTTCGGGTGGATTGGGGGCTGAAGGTCCGGACCCCTGACCCGTCCCGATTCGGGTAGTGGGCCCCGGTCCCTGAACGGAGTGTACATTCGGGTCGCGGTCCGCAGGATCGATTT